TTTTACCTGTCAATACACTTCAGAGTATCTCCTGATTTGGGCTGTTGTGAATAATGCCAGTATGAGCGAACGTTCTTGAACAAATCCTTAAAGTTTTTTTAAACATTTGTTTTTGTGGTACATATGTATATTATGTTGGCCGTTTGTATGTGTGTGATTTAGTGGCATGAAACACATTCCCAGCTCACACGTCCTTGTGTGAATGTGCCTCTGCGAGTGGGGTTGCTGGGTCACATGTGCGCGTGTCTGCCCAATTCATAAGAAATTGCGACACTGTCCAAAGCCCTCTGTCATTCTGAATTCCCACCACCAATACTGCTTTACATCTTGGCAAATGCTTGCTGTTGTCAGCATTTTTTTTTCCTTATTAATCAAACTACGAGGTATAACCTGTGTACCAAAAGCCTGGATCCATTTAAAATTTGCAGTTCAGGGAGCGTTGACAGGTGTGCACACCTGAGAAACCATCGGACACCCGTGGCCTCTGCATCGGCCTGTCTGCTGCCAGATCTGGCAAACTCTGGTTTTCATGTTACAGACTCATTTGTATTTCTGGGGTTTTTCTAGAAGTGGAATCACACAGCACTCTTGTGTGTCTGGATTCTCTTTCTCCGTCTTCATTTCTTTAAAAAAAATTTTTTTAATGTTAATAATTTTTGAGAGAGGCAGACACAGCATGATCAGGGGAGGGGCAGAGAGCGAGGGAGACACAAAATCTGAAGCAGCTCCAGGCTCTGAGCTGTCAGCACAGAGCCCGACGCGGGGCTCGAACTCACGAATTGTGAGATCATCACCTGAGCCGAAGCTCAACTGACTGAGCATCCCCCCCCTCCCCGCCCGCGCCCTTCTCTTTCTCCATTTTCTTTGAGATGTAGACGCGCATCTCACACCTTTGTGTTGTGTAGCATTCCACTTGTGAGGACTGCAGTGCGTTTATCTCCTCTTCTGCCGTGGACTTTTGAATGGCTTCCGTGTTTGGGTTTTTCTGAATGGTGTTCCTAGGAACATTCTCATACCTGTTTCTGGTGACTGTATGTATACGTTTCTGTCGGGGATACACTGGTGAGTGGGTTTACCCCAACCTTAAAAGACACCAAACTGTTTTCCATGCGGTCCCGTGGTGGCAGGGTGACAGTTCATCTGCCTTCCTTTTATCCTGTTTCTTTGTGACAGCCTTGCAGCACTGGGTCCTAAGGATCACCTTCTGTTACTTCACCACCCTCCAGTGGGTAGGCTTTAGTTTGTTAATAATGGAGTAGTTAACCTTTAGTTACTTTTACACAAGGCACTCGAGCCCTGTTAGTGCTGTAACACATTATCTTACAGTTAGTTATGTGGTCACAAGTCAGCAGGCAGGACGCTGGGGGTTGGGCTCTCCTTTCTGTGGGCTTTAGGGGAGGTCTGTTTCCTTGCTCATGGGTCCGTCCCGCCCCTGTCTTTGCTGGCTGTGAACCAGTAGCTGCCCCAGCTTCTAGAGACCATCCACATGCCTCGCCCACCTTCCTTTTTCTCCGACTTCAAAGCGGGGTCGAGTCCCTTTCAGACTTGGAGTCTCTCCTCCTTCAGTTTCATCTCTGACGCCGCCAGGAAAGAGTCCACATCTTTTAGCCCTAAAAGAGGTATAACCTGTGTACACAGGTCCTGACACATCAGACCTCAGGCCTACCCGGATGAGTCAGGGCGCTTTCCCTCTCAAAGCCCACAACTACTCAGGTGCACCTGCAGGGTCCCCTCGCCTTGTGGGATGCATGTTCACAGGCTCCAGGGATTAGGAGGAGGGCATCCCCAGGGACAGGGAGAGGGCATTATTCTGCCCACCACACCGTCATGAGAAGTTCTCTGTATCTTGTTGGTTTGGTTAGATTTTTATAGGCTGGTGAGAGGGATGCAGGTCTGCATTTCTGGTAGGTACTGGTGGTCTTAGTTATTGCTGTGGACTGATGTTTGTGTCTCCTGACCCCCCAGGGAATGGTCAGGGGCGGTGCCTTTGGGAAGTGACTCAGTCATGGGGGTGGAGCCTCAGGAGTGGGATCAGTGCCCTTGTAGAAGAGACACCCCCCCCCCCCAGGGCTGCCTGGCCCCTCCCGCTGTCCATGAACCAGGAAGCTGGCCCTCACCAGATACAGGCTCTGCTGGGGCCTTGTCTCCAACTTCCAGCCTCCAGAGCCGCGAGAAGTAAATCTCTGTTGTTTATAAACCACCCAGTTTCTGTATTTTGTCACAGTAGCCCAAGCCGACTAAGAAATTACTACAAACATCACCCACTTTATCAGCAAATAGTTTCTGTGAGTCAGAAGTCTGGTCACAGTGTAGCTGGATGCTCACTGGGTCTCGGGGTCTTTCTCGGGCTGCAGTCAGGTGTGGGCCGGGACAGGAAGAATCCTTTTCAAGTTCGTGTTGGCATGAGGCTCGGGTCGGCAGTGCTCACCATCTCGCTTCCCAGCTGCGTGGGGCTGCGCGTGGGCGGCCTGCCCCATCGAGCCAGCAAGGTGGTCCCATGCAACATGATCGTGGAGGGACGTCCATCACCTTGGCCCCCCTCCACAGGTCAGTAGCAAGTCTTAGTTCCCACCACCCTCGAGGCGAGGGGCGGGACCCCGGGCCCATGTGAGAGTGCCTGTCACGCTGCCCACCATTGTTTCCTGTCCACTGGGGACGTGTGCGGTTCCCTCGTGGGTCCCCAAGCGTGCCCTGTGCTGCGAGGCACATCTCCTCAGCACAGGCATGTGCCGTGGCCTTCCCCCGGGGGGGGGGGGGTGGCGTGAAGGCTGCACACGTACATGCCGAGGGCCGCCTGGGCCTGAGGCCAGAGTGTGGGTCCCAGGGCGTTCTGTGTGTCCACCTGCGCTACGGGAAGCTTTTTCCGGTTCTTGGAAGACCAGCTTTCCTCTTCTGCTTCCCGGCTATCTTTGGGGACTTGAGGACAGCTCACCTGCCTTCCCTGGGGAGTAACACTTAGGAAACAAGAGCTGCCTGTGCTGGGTTTAGACGCCCGGTCCTCGTGGAAACACACGCTGGGAGGCGCGGTCCGGGAGCTCCGTGGGTGGTGTCTCTGTGGGAGCGTGCTCGCCCCGAGCGCCGGGGACCCACTCCCGTCAGTGGGCCGCTGCGGTGGGGACAGCCTGCTGGGCTGGCCTCCTCTCTCTCGGGACACCGCTGGCACGTGAGTTTCAAAGGAAGACGTCAATTAGCATTTCGTTTCGTTCTGTTTCGTTCCTTTTTAAATTCCTTTTTATAAGTTTCCTCTCACTGTGAGGCATTTAAAAAAAATTTATGCTTTATTTATTATTATTATTTTTTTAAGTTTCTTTATTTATTTTGAGGAGGTGGGGGCAGGAGAGGCGGAGAGAAGGAGACAGAGAATCCCAAGCAGGCTCTGTGCTGTCAGAACAAGAGTCGAACGTGGGGCTTGAACCCATGAACCATGAGATCATGACCCGAGGTAAAGTCAGACATTTAACCAACTGAGCCACCCAGATGCCCCTATTTATTTTTGAGAGAGAGAGAGAGACAGTGTGAGTGGGGGGGCAGGGCACAGAGAGAGAGAGAGAGAGAGAGAGAGAGATCGAGAATCCAAAGCAGGTTCCAGTCTCTGAGCTGTCAGCACAGAGCTTGACGCGGGGCTCGAACTCACAGATCACAAGATCATGACCTGAGCCAAAGTCGGACGCTTAACCAACAGAGCCAGCCAGGCCCCCCTTACTGTGAGGAATTTTACAAAGTCCTCCTGTGGGGTGCCTGGCTGGCTCAGTTGGTAGAGCATGTGACTGTTGATCTCAGGGTTGTGAGGTCAAGTGCCACATCGAGCATAAAGTTGACTTAAAAAAAAAAAAGTCCTCCTGTGGCTTTTAATCATGTTGTACAGTAGCTGGATAATTATCCATTTAGTGTTGCCTTTTTTCCATAAAGACTGGACCCTCAGAGGGGCGCCCGGGTGGCTCAGTCGGTTGAGCGTCCGACTTCGGCTCAGGTCATGGTCTCGGGCTCTGTGCTGACAGCTCGGAGCCTGGAGCCTGCTTCAGGTTCTGTGTCTCCCTCTCTCTCTCTGCACCTCTCCTGCTCCTGCTCCTGCTCTGTCTCTCTCTCTCTCAAGATAAATAAACATTAAAGAAAAAAGTCTGGAAGCTCAGAGAGGTGATGCAACCCACGTGCTGTCTGGGCAGGTGACGAGACACCCTACCTTGCCCGCTCCCGTCAGACGGGTCCGGCAGGCGTGTGGGAAAGGGCCACGCCCAGAGGTCAGCCAGGCTGTGTGCAGGGTCTCCATTCTGAACAGCCCCTGGTCCCTCTCCACAGTGGAAAACTGAGCCGACAATCTCAGTTTCCGCACAAAGTCAAGCTGACCGGGCGGGCAGCCGAAGTCACTTGGTTCTTTTTGGTGTGTTCCTCTCACCATGAGTCCCATGTAATTCCTGATGACGGGGGTCTTCTTGGGGGGGAGGTCTGTGGTCCTGAGTCGGTGCTGACAGGCGCGTGGGCATTGGTGAAGGTCTGAAGGAGGGAGTCAAGGCGGAGAGCGTGTGACCCGCGGCCTGTTCTGTCGGGTGACTCCTGTCGGGACATCACGCCTCCACTCGGGCCAGCGACGTGGCTGTTTGTGCCACCTTGTCTTGACAGGCTGGCCACGTGGCCACCGACACCCCACCTGGTGGCAGGCGTCCCACCCCCAAGCGTGAGAGGCCAGGGGCGACAGAGGGTCATGTCCTGCTGGTCGGTGCCGCCCGTGGCCAGCCTTCATCCTGCGCACGCCCGCAGCTCTGGTCACAGCACCTGGTGAGGTGGTCTCGGCGGGAGGGGGTGTACCTTGGTGAGTCCCCCAAACCACCCGGGAGAGGGACACTGTCAAAACCTGGCGTTCCTGGGGTGCCTGGGTGGCTCAGTCGGTTAAGCGGCCGACTTCGGCTCAGGTCGTGATCTCACAGTCTGTGAGTTCTAGCCCCGCATCGGGCTCTGTGCTGACAGCTCAGAGCCTGGAGCCTGCTTCAGATTCTGTGTCTCCCTCTCTCTGACCCTCCGCTGTTCATGATCTGTCTCTCCCTGTCTCAAAAAAAATAAATAAAACGTTAAAAAAAACAAAAAACCTGGCGTTCCCGAAAGTTGAAACCTCATGACCTTTTCTGCACCATTGCTTCCCCCTTCCACCTCCCCTCTCCGACCCGTCTCTTCGAAGAACGCCGCAGTCCTCAGCCCGCGATTATGATGTTCCTCCCCCTCCAGCCTTTGTTGGTGTTTTCCTGGGGCCGGGAGCTGCTCACCTCGCACTGTCCGGGCTGTTGTCAAGGGCAGGGACTCGAGGCCAGTGACGCAGGGACATGGTGTCAGGGGGCGGTGGCTGGCGCCATCCTCGGCCCTGGCAGGCCTCGCTGGACCAGGGCTTTGCACACGCCCCCACCGCCCCGAAACGGAGCGTAGTGAGGCTGGTTCCGGGTCACGCGCTCTGCCTGCACGCAGAGCCAGATCCCGCACGCGCAGGCGCGCTGCAAGGTGAAGTGGAGAAGTGCTCGCCCCCTACACCATCTGTGCTCGTGCGACGTCGTACTAGATGCCGAGGCGGGGGCGGTGAAAACGTACCTGGTGCACGTAACGCCCGTGTTACGACGGGTGATGTGATTTTTTCCCCCAAAATGGTAAAGAACTTTCGGTAAAATTCTGCACAAGCGAGACACCCGTGGTTCACAAGGTGGTGGCGTCCCTGCCAAGTGTGGTGTGCACGTGGGACACACACGCTGCGCAGGACAGGTCAGGATCTCCGCTCAGAGTGAGGGCCACGGGAACTTCACCTGTGCAAACACCTGGCCAAGTGTTGGAGCTGTTTTCAGGACTCGGGATGATTCCCTGTGCTGCACACTGATCACGTGCATGGCAGTTCAGCCGGAGTCCCTGGCCTCTGCCTCCTGAGCTTGTGACAGCAAGACATGTCCCCACGGTCTCTAAACGTCTCCCTGGAGGGACCCTCGGTCGCTCTTGCTCCCGGTGCAGCTGTGGTACCTCTGGCAGCGATGTGAGCCCCTTTACTTCCTGGAACGATGTCTGGTGTAGAGTAGGAATGTAAACGGTAATTTGTGTCAGGTGAACTGCCACTCCGCTCAGAGACCCCAGTAAAACAATAGAAAAGACAGTCTTAAAAACCTGTGACTCCGTCAGGTGAGAGAGGCTGGCAGGTTGGGAAGCAGGTACCACTTCCAGGATGAAGTGCAGAAGCCCGAAAGAGGCTGCGAGGCACCGGCAGGGCCCCCGGGCCCCTCTGAGCTCAGCGCCGGAAGGCAGGGCTAAAAATGGGGGGCGGCTGGGCAGGGGCACCGGAGGTCTGCTCCCAGCGAGGCTCAGGCGTGGTGGAGGGCCGGCCAGCCCTGCCTCTGGTGCTCAGGCGGTGTTCCCGTGCTGCCCCGAGGCGGCAGCCAGTTCTCTGCTGGGACAGTCCCAAGTCCAGGAGGAAGGACCTGCACGCCCCCCGAGGCTCCAGGCAGCTCTGCCGGGAGCCCCGGTTCAGTAGAGTCACCAAGCATCCTGCAGCTTCTTAGGGTCTCTTGGGTGGACATCCAGGCGCTGCCCCACTGTGAGGAAAGACAGTCTACTAAGTAGCAGTGTTACCTGAGGTACAGAGATACTGGCTCCAAGAACTAGGAACACGGCGTTATTCGAAAGGAGCGTTCAGAGGGCCAGAAAGAGCGTTTAGAAGTTAAACTAGAGAGAGTAGCAGCTGGAAAAGCAAACGGGTGCAGCCACTCTGGAAAACAGTGTGGAGGTTCCTCAAAAAATTAAAAACAGAACTGCCGTACGACCCAGCAATTGCACTACTAGGTGTTTATCCAAGGGGTAAATGAGTCATGATCTCGCTCTTGATGAGTTTGAACCCTGCATGGGGCTCTGTGCTGACACTGCGGAGCCTGCTTGGGATTCATTCTCTTTCTCTGTCTCTGCCCCTTCCCCACTTGCATCGTCTGTGTCTCTCTCAAATAAACTAAATAAATAAGAAGGATCGTGAATCAGAACAGCACCTGTCTCCCCTGGGTGCCTCTGGCCACCTGCCCCTGGCCCCTCCTGGCCTCCCAGTGCCCTGTTGTCCATCCAGAGAGTGTTCGTAAGTCCTTGGGCCTGAGACCTGCCCAGGATGACTCCTCCTTGTGTTTGAGCTTCATGCGTTGAGCGCATGCACTGGGGTGGCTGGGACCCAGCCCGTGAGAGGCCCGGTCGCCCCCGGTGCCCTCGGGCAGCTGTTCCTGCCCCCGCTAGCTGATTCTGTTCTCAGTGGTTGTGCCTGTGCCGTACAAGCCACTCAGCATTTTGAATGAAGCCTCTGGTTATCATGTTTTCCAAGAGACGCTCGGTATTTATGGACTGAGGGGCTGAAGTAGGGGGAGGAGGATTGAAATTCTCCAGCAACAGATCTGGAGACCTGAGACATGTCCGAGCCGACTCAGCACTGAAGTTGGTTCCGGCACAGGTTTACGGCAGGGAGATCCTGCCTTTCTCTTTGTACTCTCGTCTGTGTTTTCTAAGACTCTAAAAAGTACACTGTAAGTTTCTGTCCGGATTTGGGAGGTGGGGATGTGGGGCAGGGCAGTCACGAAGCTGTCTGCTTTCCGCAGGCCCCTCGCACGGGCTGCCCGGTCTTCCTCGGGGATGGGAGGGCATGGCTCCGAGCCGTCCCCGGGCTCTCCTGTGTGACCTTCCCCGAGAACCCTGTGCTCTGGGAGCCCTCTGACCTAAGCTGGGTGGGCTGTGCAGCAGGAGGGGCCGGGAGCAGAGCGGACCCTCCCTCGGTCTGGCTCCCAGCTCCGAGTGCCCATCTGCGCGGGTCCCGCTGTGCACACGGCCGGGCCTTCAGTGGAGCTGCCGGTGAGCAGAGACTGGAGACCGCCGTGGATGCGCTGCCGCAGTGGGTCGGGTGGAGCGCAGGCGGACAGGTCGGCGTGGTGCCGGTCCGCGTTGATGTCGTCTCCGGGGCCTTTCCTGGGCGCGCCCTCCTCCCTGCAGCTCCCAGCTGGGCTTCCGGGAGTTGCCTCGGGGGGACTTGGCATCAGGGCGGCCCCTTTCCTGGGAGCCTCACTCAGAGACGTCCTGGGCGGTGTCCAGTCCCCGAGGCCCAAGCCTGCCGGGCTGATCTCCACCCGGAGGAGATGTTGCCCAGAGGATGGGCGTCCACACCAACAACCTTTCTGGTCATCTCTGTTTCCCACATTATCCTCCTGTGGTCCATCTCACAGCAGCTGTAGAGCCAGAACCAAAAGGAGGCGAGTTTCGGGTCAAATCTGTGCTGCTTTTTTGACTGAATTACAGGAGCTTCCTCTGAAGGTCAGGGGAAGGGCAGGTGTCGAGGAAAGACGGTGGGACAGGCCTGAGTTTGCTTCTTCCGAGAAGTGTTTCTGTCACTTGAGAATGTGTACAAGACAGTCTTCTCCCTTTTCTGTGTGTTGTGGTAAAGCGTACGTTTTCTAGAAGCTTCGAAGTTTCTAGAAGCACAGTTCAGTGGCAGGAGGCACATCCCCGCTGTTTGGGACCACGACCGCCGCCCATCCGCACAGCTCTCCCACGGACCCAAACGGAAGCTCTGTGCCCACCCCTCCCCTGCCCCTGGAGACCACTGTCTCCTTCTGTCCCCAGGGGCACCCGCACTGTCTTCCCGTGACAGGCGTTATGTCACTGACCACAGCATCCTCGAGGTCCATCCGCGTCCGAGCATGTGTCGGAATCTCCTCCCCTTTAAGGTACAGGACTAGTCTGCTACGTGGACAGACCACGTTCTACCCATCCGCCGATGGGCCCGTGAGCTCCTCCCGCCTTTTGGCTGCTGTGAATAGTGCTGCAGTGAGCGTGGGTGTGGAAATACATCCGTGTTTGATTCCCTGCTTTTGTTTTTGGTTATGCACCCAGAAGTGGAATTTCTGCATCATAAAGTAATTGTGTTTGATTTTTTGAGGCATCACCTGAGTGTTTTCCGTGTGTCTGCGCCCTTTTCTGTTCCTCCTGGCCTTGCACGACGGTACAGTTTCTCCACATCCTTACCAGTGCCTGTTATTTTTTGTTTGTTCGTTTGTTTTTCTATAACTGTCTGGTGCGCAGTGACATCTCGTTGTGGTTTCATTTGCATTTTTCCTGATGATGGGTGCTGTTTTCGTGTGCTTATTGGTCATTTCTGTATCTTCTTTGGAGAAATGTCTACCCAAGTCTTGGGACCATTTCTTAATTGGATTTTTTGTTGTTTTTTTCGTTGTCGTGTTTCCTTCTCTATTCTGGATATCAGCCCCTCATCAGATACGTGACGTGCAAATATTTTCTCCCATTTTGCGGATTCCATCTTCATTCTGTCAAATGTCTTTTGACGCATGGGAGCCAGGTTTAGGGGCACACTTGGGAGTTCTCCAGGCAGAGGCACAGCGAGGGTAGAGGCACCGGTGCCGGAGTGGGTGTGCCATATGCACAGTGTGAGGACAGCACCTGCATTAAAAATGCCCATTTTCAAGCCCTCTTGGAGGAAGTGTTAGGAAAAGACAAGAAACCTGTGAGATATTTAAGGGTTAAAGAGGCGGAGGGAAGACAGAGCTTGTGCAAAGTTTCCAGATGGCCCACAAAGCACTAGAAGATGTTACATGTAAGCTAAGTGTCCCTGCTCCTGCCGACTTCTCTTTACATGAAAGCGTGAAAAAATAAAAACTAAAGATATGGCAAGCATAGGTCTTTCAGAAGGCTCTCCAGGGAAATGGCATTTTAGGAATTACTTTACCCTTAATAATGCTCCCAGCACGCTCCAGTTGCCAGTACCTGGGGACTGTAGTGAGCCCAAGCCTTCGGGAGGTCGACGACAGGACCTACAGGAAGTAGGTCAGCATGGAGATGAGCCATCCTCCTGCAGCCTCCCTCCCTGCAGCCGGGGCTCTTGGGGCAACACGGGGTGGCCAGCTCGAGTTGCTGGGCTGGAGCCACAGGAAGGCTCAGGTGGGGTGGCACACCTCTCGGCCCTGGCGGGCCCGTTCCCAGGCGTCGCCTACAGCTGCCCTCTGCTTCCTTGCAGGCATCGACTATAAGACGACCACTATCCTGCTGGATGGACGGCGGGTCAAGCTGGAACTCTGGTGAGTCAGGCCATGCCAGGCAAGGTGCCTGGGGGCAGGGGCTGTGGCACCTCAGTGTCATTGCACAGTGTCTGAAGTGAGTCAGGAACCCTTAAAGAGACAGGAGGGCGTCCTGGTTTACATTCACGTGCATAGCCATTTGCACAGACCCTATGTCGGCGTGGAATGGACTTTGCTCCGTGGCGCAGAACCCAAAAGTCCGAGCCCAGCTCCCTTTTCCCGTGGAGACTCATTCCCACAGTGGCCATGGTCCCTCTCCCCTTGCCCTTTACTGGGCTACACATTAAGGAGCATTTTCCAGAACCTCAGTGTGGAGGTGTAAAATCCCACGGGGGGGGGTTCTCCAGCCCGGCGGGGCAGGGTTCCAGGGAACATAGGCCCGTGGGGGTCAGCCAGGGCACGCTGGGGGGGGGGGGGGTCGGGGGGTGCGCGCCTCCCCGGATTCACGCTGTGCATGCTGCGTCCCCCGTCCCCTGTGTTGCAGGGACACATCGGGCCAGGGCAGGTTCTGCACCATCTTCAGGTCCTACTCCAGGGGCGCACAGGTAAGCCCAGCATCAGTGCGGGTGCTATTCTCCAGGACAACCTCCCCGGCTGCTGTGTGTCACTGTTTCTAAGCAAGTCTTGGCGTTTGAACACCCGGCTTCCACTAGGAGTCCAAACGAGGATGTCCTCTGAGTGACGCAGCTTTAGCCGTCAGAGCTCCGTGGCGCCAGTCGGCGTCCCGAGCTCTGCGGGAGTGTGCTGGGAGCCTTGGGGAGCCTCTCAGTCACCGGTTCACTGGGAAGAGGGGGCTGCCTGGGCGGGCTGGCCGGGATCACTGCTGAGGACTTCAGGGACCCAGCATCGGAGCTGCCGCGGAGGGGGCTGCTGCAGGCCCTTAGAGGCAGGGGCGCCTGCCCGTTTCTATCTGCGCCCCCAGGTTCCCCCAGCGTGCTTGCGTGCTGACTGGGTCTGTGTGGTTCAAGGCTAGGCGAAGGGAAAGTAGCCACACCAACAGAGCTGTGGACTCTCACTGCCGGGTCGGCTTTGTCGGCTTTGATTCAGGGCAGGCCGTGACCCCCCTGCAGAGGAGACCCCTGGAGTCAGAGCTGCCCTGCACCCCAGGCAGGGTCCCCCGTCGGGAGCACCACACACTCGTGCTGGGACCTGGCGCTTGGGCACGTGGCCGGGCCTCTGGCTGTGGGGCACGGGCCACGGGTGGGTCTGCACTCATCAGGAGCAGGTGCTGCCTGTCACCAGCCCCCCACTCTGGCTCGGGCTTGAGGGGAGTCCCCTGGGCATTTGTTTTGCTTCGTGAGCAGGGATGAGTGCCCAGCCACTCCCATGCTACTCTTTCTGGTCCGTGGGACCTGGGAAACCAGAGGGAGATTTCTTCTGTGACAGAGTCGGATGGAGTCTGAGTAGATGTCGACAGGAACACCCAGCCCCAGCCTTTCCTCCAGGGCCTCCTGAGTGGGAGCCTCTCCGGCATGGTGATCGGGAGGAAGACCCCAAACGGGGCCCCCATCTGCTTTCTGCTGAGGTTGGGGTGGAGGACCCCCAGGCTGGGCTTGGGAGCTCCTGTCCTGGGAGCTCTGCCCCTGGAGCGGCCAGCTTGGTGATGTGACCCGTGCACAGGCTACCCCCAGTGCGTGCCCGATGCCTGGGGGGGGGGGGGGGGGGGGGCCTGCAGAGGTGGTGTGCACCCGGCAGGTCCTAAACTGAGCCTAAGTAAGAAAAGACAGAGGGACCTCCGGGTGTGGGTCCCAGCTTTGGGGCCTGTCAGCTTGAGTGAGCACAGGGAGAGTTCAGGCACTCACGTGTGGTCCACGGGCCGCTTTTGCTTCAAGGCGGGACGGCACGTGTGGTTTTATACATAGGAGACGAGAAGGTTGTCTTCTGACCGCTAGTGTTCATTGTCAGTGGACCATGGGTCACTGGTGAGTTCCGACGTGTTTCTTTTGCATTTTACTATTTCCTAACTTTGCTATAATAAACGCATACTACTTTTGTAATAAAACGGAAATTGAAGAGATGGGAGGAGTTACGTTGGGTGTGCTAATAAAGGCCCCCTGGGAGATGCTGAGAAAAGACCCGAGAGGCCTCGGCTGCCCTGCCTGCTGTGAGTGTGAACGTGGGACAGACCACAGACACCCACTTCTGTGTAGACACTTGAGGACCAAAGCAGCAGCCAGGCCTGCACGTTCGCCAGACTGTACGTTCTGAGGAAGCACATCCTGTTACCACGTCCACGTTCTCTCCAAAGCATCCAGCCCAGTCAGTTGTGTATCAGCTGTTGCTTTTGCTTTGCTAGCTCTGGGGGTGCTGGTCGTTTTGGGGCTGGGTGGCCGGCAGCGGGCGCCGAGTCTGGGGTGCTTCTGCCTGTCGTGCTTCTGTCCCGTCTGGTGGTGGCAGTGAGGACCGTGGGGTCTGCACGGTCAGCACTACCTGACTTTGCAGCCAATGATACCGCTGGTGGAGTTTCCTCTCTCCTGTCACTCTCCTACCCCCGGTTAAGGTCAGAGAGGCCTTGCGGGTCCCGTAAGGTCCAGAACACAGAAGCCCCTGGCCAGCCCCTGTGTGTTGTCACCTGCCCCACAGCGGTACTGTCTCGTGGCTCTTGCCATGAGTACCTTTCTGTCCTGGACCACTGGACTGTGGCCCGTGTTTGCTGTTGCTGGGTGCTGAGGTAGCCCTGGGAGGCCGGTGCCTCCCGTTGGGGTCCCCTGGAGTCCCAGGGAGGGGACTGGGGGCTAGGAGCAGGGAACGTTCTGTTCAATTGAGGGTTTGGGGTCACCTGGATTAGCACTGGGGAGAGCACGGCCAGGCCCTGGTCTGGATAGAGAGGGTTCAGTTCATTCCCGCGAAAAGCGGTTTCCTGTGAAAAATGGTCTCGGGCTCACATTTGCCATTACACGATTGCTGGTGAGGGTACCAGCATGCCACCTGTCACCGCCCAGGTTGGGGGGCATTTGGGCCAGAGACCGTTTGACAGACACCTGCTCCCCATTTTCAGTGCTTGTCTTGCTCCTGGGCAGAAGCCTGGGCGCGTGTTGGGGGCGTAGGCAGAGCTCCTTGGGAGCCTTACCGTACAACATGTATCACACGTTGCAAAAACTGACTTCATAAAAAGTGCACCTCTGCACCTCGGTTGGGGTGCTGGTGGCACAGGTACGTACGTTTGTCCAAGCTCATCAAACTGCTCACCCTTAAAATCTCTCTGCATCTTCTGAGGGATAAGCGGTAGCTCAGAAATGGACAGAATGAGGACCTGGGCCCCGCACTCCCACCTCTGGGAATCCTGTGGTCCGGGTCACGTTGTACGTGCTCAGGCCTTCATCTCGGGTGTTGGTAATCACACAGCAGGTGAAGTCACCTAAGCGCCAACAGCCGCGCTACCTGCTGAGCCTGGCACGAGGCTCTGGCGTCTGTGGGGCAGGGGGTCCCGGGTGGGGGCTGGGCAGCTTGCACCACATCCCCGTCTGTGTCAGGAATGAGACAGTAAGTGGTTATCCCTGGAGCGATGGGGAGAGCTTCTGTTTGTACCCTGGAGTACCCGCTCATTTAAAAACCCTGAGCGTGTGTTACTTTTATTAATTGAAAAAACAGTATAGTGAGAATTTATTTGCTCCTCCTTCTGCCTCTTTGGAATGCACGGCCGACTTGGGACCCCTTGGGGTCTTCTGGTAACGAGCAGCCTCGCTTTGGTTTCTCATCGGTGCCACGTGTGCTCGATCCCACCTGTCCTTCCCGCGCTCATTTTGGTCCCTGCTGCCTGCGATGTGACCAGCTCTGTGTCCTTCCTCCTTGAGATGGACCGCGACTGGGGCAGCCCCAGAAAGACGGTTGTGGGTGCAGGTTGGCGCCAGCTGGGAGGGCAGCCAGGGGTTCCACAACCGCCTAGGGGCGTGGCTGAAGCCTGAGCCCAAGAGATGAGCTTCTGCCTGCTTATTTGAGCTTTTCAGCCTCACACAGGTGAGCAGGAGCAAGAAGGTGAGTCCCTGTCGAGCCTCCAACACGTGGTTGTGCGTGGAAACTGTTCTCTGTGGGTTGTGGTGTGTTTGTATTTCTGTTTCTAAAAACTGGATGGGGCGCCTGGGGGGCTCAGTCGGTTAAGCATCCCTCTCTTGCTTCGGCTCAGGTCATGATCTCACTTACGGTTTTGTGGGATCGAGCCCCACGTCGGGCTCTGAGCTGATAGTGGAGTCTGCTTGGGATTCTGTCTCCCTTTCTTTCTGCCTCTCCCCCACCCCCCACTTATGCTCATTCTCTCAAAAAAAAAAAAACTTAAAAGGTCTGCACATCTGTGTACTTCTCGCAGTCTGCTGTGCACCTCCGTGTCTTACGTTTATACCCACTTGGTACGTCCATACCTTGACTTACTCCAGTCCTGGGACTGCACGTTTAGCTGTATGAACAGGGTTGAGATGAGGTCACTACATGCGCCCTCTGTTATGTCAAAGAAGGGGGGTTTCCAGGGTTGGGGGTCAGGGGCCCCCCACTGCAGCACTAGACAGAGGCTTTGTTCCTTGTGCCCCAGGCAACAGGGTTAACCCCAGCTGCTCACGGGTCCTGTTCAGTCTCACTCGTGGCACTGCCCCCGCCAGACTGGTGTCTCCGCCCTTGACTTCAAGTGAGTCTGTGCACATCTGTCTCCAGAGAATGTTGCTCCAGGCCTGGCTCTTCCTTCCCTGCCAGGGTCCCTCCCGGCTCGGCAAGTGGCTCTGCCCTGCCAGAGGCCTTCCGGCCCAAGAGTGGGGTTTTGAGCTCCACGTCGACAAGATCGAGGGCTACACTTCTGTCTTGCAGGATTTGCAGGACACTTTTTGAGGGGAAAGGCGCATTTGGAGGTGGAGGGTGCCCTGTCCTTTTGATCTCAGCTGCATTGTCCCCGTGTATGACAGAGACACAGGCTGAATGGAGCCTTGATGGGGCAGGATGGGGTGGATCCTGTTTGCGGAGAGGTTCCGGCTCCTGAGCCTGCTTCAGAGTGGCCCGAAGGGGCAGAGAGAGGCGGGAGCCCGCAGCTACACTCTCTGCTGGAATCACCTTTCTGCAGCTCGTGATGGAGATCTCTCGGGCAGGGACGATGGGCCGGCCAGGCAGGCGGAGACAGCCCAGAGCTGAGCTCTGACTGCTTGGTCTCTAAGGGCCGTGCGGCAAAATCCCCACAGCAGATCCTCTGCCCAGTTCGGGGGGCGGGGGGCTGCTAGAGTGACTGGCGTCCTGCCTGCAGATTTGGGTTGGAAAACTAAGAACCCGTCCGCTCGGCCCCCGGGTCCCCTGAGCAGAGCTCCGTTGGACGGTGTCAGGGACATCACCCCTGTCTGCCTGCCAGGGTTGTCCGCAGGGCCCGTCCACACTGTCTGTAGACCTTTGTAGACTGTCTTAGCTTGGGTGATTTTTTTTTTTTTTTTAATGCTTATTTATTTATTTTGAGAGAGAGAACTCGAGAGCAGGAGAGGGCCAGAGAGGGGATGGGAAGAGAATCCCAAGCAGGCTCCACACTGTCAACACAGAGCCTGACACGGGGCTCAGTCCCACAACCCTGGGATCGTGACCTGAGCCAAAATCAAGAGTCGGATGCTTAACCGACCGAGCCACCCAGGTGTCCCTTCGGCTTGAGTCATTTTTAAATGATCACAGGATAATGCTTACAGTGTGTTTGGAGGAAAGAAATGAAAAAATACCAGTTTTCCAGCCAAGTCTTCAGGATAGGGAGGGAAGAGGCAGCACCGAGCCCACGAGATCCCCCCGTTGCCATCACCCCACACAGAGGGTATCCAGGACCACACGGGCCTGCCCTCGGTGAGGAGATGGGGACAGGGCTGGCTGAGGCCTGCGTGCAGAGCTGATGCCAGCAATGCCTCTGAAGCGTGACAGAGTCTCAAAGCCAGGCATTTTTCACGTGGAAAACGTGGGACCCACACAGTCCCCGTAAGGGGCGCCTGGGTGGCTCAGTCAGTTGGACGTCCAACTTCGGCTCAGGTCATGATCTCACAGCACGTGAGTTTGAGCCCAATGTCAGGCTCTGTGCTGACAGCTCAGAGCCTGGAGCCTGCTTCGGATTCTGTGTCTCCCTCTCTCTCTGCTCCTAACCCACTCACATTCTGTCTCTTGTCTCTCTCAAAAATAAATAAACATTAAAAAATAATAATAAAATAAATAAAAGCTGTCTGGCTGGAGCCGAGTGCCCCTGGCCCCACCTATGCTGGAAAGGAGTGGTGCTTGGCCACATAGGGCACTGTGCCTGGAATAGGACCCCTTCCATCCAGGCGGCCCCCGGCCTCTCGACGCCCGTGTCTCCCTTGCAGGGGATCCTCCTGGTGTATGACATCACCAACCGCTGGTCCTTTGACGGCATCGACCGGTGGATCAAGGAGATTGATGAGGTAGGTGTGCATCCGTAGATAGCCCTTGCACGGTCCCTTCCCAGGGTGCACTCCCATCCCCGGCAGGAAGCTAGCGGACCCCGTTGGCTGTCCCTACCCCCGCCTCTGCCCGTTGCCCTGGCTCTCTGTCGTCTTGCACACTGACTGCCACATACTCGGTGGCCACGGAATGGACAGTGAGGGCCCTGCCTGCTTTGGGGGCAGGGGGATGGTGCCAACATGGGGGTGTCCTGTGCTCGTGCCTCTGCTGAGTACTGTGCACCCCCCCCCCCACAAGCATGCACCCGGGGTCCCCCGGATCCTGGTTGGGAACCGGCTACACCTGGCCTTCAAGCGGCAAGTTCCAACAGAGCAGGCGCGCGCCTACGCAGAGAAGAATGGCATGACTTTCTTCGAGGTCAGCCCTCTGTGCAACTTCAATGTCATTGAGTCCTTCACGGAGCTGTCCCGCATCGTGCTTATGAGGCACGGCATGGAGAAGATCTGGAGGCCCAACCGAGGTGAGGTGGTGTCGCAGCTGCGGTCAGGAGAACGGAGGCAGAGGGGGCCTCTGGCAGCCCACTCGGGGGCCGGCCTCCCCGGGTTGGAGGAGAAGCAAGGTCCCCGCTGCTTCCCTGACACCTGGAAGCTAAGTTAGCCTGCGCCCCGTGTCTGCCCTGTGTGGGGTCCCGGCGCTGTGCAGGGGTCTGCGCCTCGGTGCTGGGAGGGAGTGCTGTGGACTCTGCCCTGGAGCAAACAGGGGACTGGCTCCAAGCCTCCCCTCCTGGAGCTGACCCACGAAGATCCTGGCTGTGTGCTCCCCCGTCCCTCAGCCGCGTCCCACCCCAGCTGCCATTAGGCCCCAGGGCAGGGCAGGCGACCCTTGGAAGCGGGGTCTCCCAGGGCACCTCTCTGCGTGCGGCTTCAGGGAGAAGCCGGGAACGGGACACCGGCAGCTGGGCTGTGGAGTGGTGGGCATCCAGGGTCCCGAGCAGGGCGAGCCTGAGCTTTGCGGACCTCTGCACCCCGCCGCCTGACCTTTCCCTCCCCCGCCCCCATCCGTAGTGTTCAGCCTGCAGGACCTGTGCTGCCGGGCCATCGTCTCCTGCACCCCGGTGCACCTCATCGACAAGCTCCCGCTGCCGGTCACCATCAAGAGCCATCTCAAGTCCTTCTCGATGGCCAACGGCATGAACGCCGTCATGATGCACGGGCGCTCCTACTCGCTGGCCAGTGGGGCAGGCGGGGGCAGCAGCAAGGGCAACAGTCTCAAGAGGTCCAAGTCCATCCGCCCCCCGCAGAGCCCGCCCCAGAACTGCTCAAGGAGCAACTGCAAGATCTCCTAGCAGGACGGGCCGGGTGCCACCCCGTCCAGCTCGCCCCGGGAGGGCTCACGCTTGGGGAGCGTCTCTGGCCGGGCGCTGGGCCTGGCGCTGTGTGCAGGGAAGGCTCTGACCTCACCGCCTCCTGGGAAGTGTGGGGGCTCACTGCGCGGGCAGTGGCCTGGGCCAGAGAAGCTCCGCGGGACCGGAGAGAGCTGCGGGGATCTTGGCGGAACAAGCCCGGGACCCTGCAGTGCCATGCGGCTGGGAAGTGCCCGGGAGGCAGCTCTGCGCGGCCCGGCCTCAAGGGGGCGGTCCTTGGGGACCCAGGAGGCCTGGCTCCCTTTCTTATTTATGTGGAAGATGTTCACCTTTCTGTACATTTTTAAAGGACGGGCAGGGAGGCCTTTGGTGCAGCCACACGTGAGCCCCTGTCAGCTGTGGGGTCAAGCTTCGGGACCTTGGGAGAGGGAGGGGATTTGAGGCAAAGACGAGGAGGAACCCCCAAGACTTCACCCTTTGAGTTCAGACACTTCACGTGGGGTGTGGGCTGTGCAGAGACCATAGGGGACAGGTGGGAGCTTTGGGCAGGGCTCTAGGGCCCGTGGCTGCCTCCGCCAGCCTGAGTACGGGGCTCCTTGTGCCCCCCCAAGGGGCTGGGCAGCCCGCATGGCTCCGGCGGTCTGAATGGTGCGGCCACACCTTCCCGGGTGACGTCCTGCGCGTCTCAGATGGGCTCAGAGCTGGGGGCAATTTCCTAGGTTCCCCAGGGGAATGTTGGGGCTTCTCAGAGGGGATAGTGGGATGCACTCCCCCCGTGTCCCTCCACATGTGGGGGCAAACAGCCTCCCCCTTGACTCTGCACCTTCCCTTCCGGTCATATCTCTGTCTGTTGCTCCATGAAACCGGCTCAGCATCTCCCGTGAGAAGACGCCGAGATCCTCAGGGGGGCTGCCAGGTGCTCTGCGGGTCTGGACAGACCTGCCTGTTTGTCTCCTGGGGCACCTGGCCTCCAGTCTTGCCACCTTCCGTCTGCTGGCCTCGGGTGTGACCCCACAGCTGCTCCTGGCCTGGCGTCACCCCTCGGGGTCACACGTCACCAGAACCGTTCTGACCCAGATTTTCTTAGTGATGCTGCCTGGAGTGGTGCGGGCAGCAGAGACACCGAGCCTCTCCTGGAGAACCCGCCAGCCAGCCTCCTCCTGCCACCTGGTTGGTGACACGGCCACCGGGTCACACTGGTGCTCAGCTCTACCTCCTACTCACGGCCCCATCCTGGGCTCTGGGACTCTCCTGTCCTGGGTGTCTGGGAGGCAGGGTGGGGGCCGTGGCCCGGGTGTGCAGGGGCACCCAGGATCCCCGTGTGAGGCCTGGCCTCAGCAGGGTCAGGCAGAGGAGGCCACACCCATCCTGTCTTGCCTGTCAGGCCCCTTTCTTCGGACTTTGAACCCCGTCACACAGACTGTGTTTTGAGGACGTGGACAGTCCACGTTCACCTTATCAACACTACTTTTCGCTGCTGACACACCATTCCTGTGCTCATTTTGGACGGTTTTTGTTTCTTTGTACAGTAAACCTAATTCAGCTCTGATTTTCAGGCTGCGTTTTATAGAAATTAAAGCCTCTGGTTTTAACTGGCCAAGTGGTGGGTGTGACGTGGCAGGGTGGGTCCGGTGCCGCTTCGTTGACACCCCCTCCACGCCCGGCCTGGACGGCTGGTGCACGTCTGGCTGTGAGGGCTGAGCGTGGCTGCACTGCCTTTCCTGGTGGGCCAGACGGGTGCAACAGAGACGCTCTGTGCCGCGCTGCCTCCAAGGGTAGGAACGCCCTCGATGTCCGTGGGTCCAGGGCCTAACTGCCGAGTTCACTCCGCTGCCTGCGAGGGTGGTGGGCACAGAGCCAGAGATGCAGCGGATGACTCGGGATCACCACCTGCCAGCGCTCAGCACGGCACTACCCGGGCCTGGAGTTGGCGCCCTCGCCGGGAAAGCCACCAGGCGACAGTGCGTGAGGCTCAGTCCAGGGCTGTGGTGGGCACTGGGGGGTTGGGAACGATCACTCTGAACCTGGCAGCCCCACGCTCGGGGACCCAGGCCTCTGACCGCAGCTCTGAGGGACCGTCCTGGACCCCAAAGTCCCCCAGGATGCATTCTCCGTAACTGGGCCGTCTTCCGGTCTCACGCTGACCAGACACGGCTTTTATTACTCTGCCTCCTAGGTCATAAGGTCAGACGTGGGGTCATGGGATGTTTTCCATCCCATCTCAGAGCAGATGCTCGTGGGGCCCCAGACCCTGGGGAAGGGTTTGGAAGGGCGGGTTCCAGCGGCTTTGTCCTGTTTTGCTGCATTAGCTCTCCCTGCCAGCCCTGCCAGGGAGGGGCTTCCGTACCCGTCTGAGGGAAGGCTCCTCCTCCCAGGCGCTTGTGCAGCTCCCAGGAAACCGCCCCCCCCCCCATTTCCAGGGTGCTTTTTAGGTGGCCTTGGCCTCTAGGGACTGGCCCCACATGGGGCCACAACCACTGAAATTCAAGTCCGTCCAAGTAGATACACTCAGTGCCTCGCTCACACCAGCCATGTTTGCAGTGTTTGCTGCCTGTGCGACTGGGGGCCATACGGGGGGCACACAGTTCCCTCCCTGCTGGTCGTCCCGGGACCTCACTTCGGTGGCATGAGCCTTGTCCAGTTGTGGAAGAGCCTGGACCAGGGCCATCCTGGGGGCGGGGGCAAAGTCCAGCCCTGCATTGGCCTCCCCCAACCCTCATCTGCTGAGGGTCACCATGGAAAGGCCCAGGCCGAGCTCACTGTGCACCCCTGTGCTTCAGGGACCTCACCACTAACTTTAGAAAGGGTTTCAATTTGACCCCGAGACCTGTTGGCAGGTCGTGACCCTTCTCCCAGGAGAAGGTTGTGGAGTTTTTCCTGGGAAGGAACAGAATGCTTACTCATTGCTGGGCTGAACACGGTACCCCTGTGCCTCTGTCTTGTCTAGAAGAAATAAATCTAAGGAAGGGGCTGGCCTGGGCCTGCTTGGGGGAGACCCAGGCCCTGGACAGCTGGGGCAGGTTGGAGAGCCGGAGGGGGTTGGCCAGCCTGGCCCCCTCCCCTGACCTGGGCTGGGAGGGTCTGAGAGGCAGCTTTGATCCCAGGGCCCTTCCATCCGAAGCCCGGCGCCCAGAGGGAGGAGGGGCTCCAGTTACAGTGTCCCCTCCCCTCCCCTCCCGCCGCAGCCAGCCCTTCTCTGGCCCTTCTCCGCCCCTTGGTGACCCTCGCGGCCAGTGTCTTCTGTGCTCCTGGGCCTCGGCCCCTCCCCAGCTCTCCTCCCCTCCCCACCCCCTGCCCTGCGCTGACCACAGAGGGGCCAGGCAGGGGAGGGGCTGGCGCCGCACGCACAGACTCAGAGCTGGGAGAGGCCCGGAACCTACCCAGCCCCTCGAACTGGGGTGTTGAGACGAAGCATCTGCTGTGGGCTTAGACCTTGGGGGTGAGGGGAGAGCCCCAGGATCAGCTGGGGGCTGGAGGGCAGGGGCAGCGACCACAGGCCTGGGGAGGCAGATGCCTTCAGGGAGGAGGCTGGGCAGGGCCTGAGGAGGGACTGGTGGTCACATCCCCCACCCCCTGTCCTGGCGGTCCCCATGCTGGCCCCGAGGCCACTCCTGCTGCCGCTCCTCGTGGTTGGGCTGACCTTGGGGGCCAGCCTGCCACCAGGACCCAGGAGCCACCCAGGCGTGTGCCCCAACCAGCTCAGCCCCAACCTGTGGGTGGATGCCCAGAGCACCTGTGAGCGTGAGTGCATCGGGGACCAGGTAAGCAGAGGCACCACCCCCGCCGGCCCTCGGTGGGGGTGGGGGTGGGGGGCTCAGGGCATCTTGGCGGCTTGGTCAGACCCTACCCCTGCACCCAGGCCTTGCCCACAGAGGGGGAACCCAGCAGCTGCACTGCGCCGCCCCCCCAATCCTGGGCCCCAATCCTCAGGCTCCCCATGCTCTGCTGCTGGTTTTGGGCTGCTGCACATACGAGGGTCCCAGGGAACACCCCCAGTCTGCGCCTTCATGTGTCTGAAGATTAAGAGCCCCCTCCTCACTCCCCGAACCCACCTGCCCGCACCCTGGGACCAGCAAGCCAGAAAGGCAGGGGGCCGTGCGGGACCTCTGCCCTGCAGCCCTGCAGCGGCCTTGAGCACGTGGCGCACGCCCCGCCCTGGGCCTCGGTTTCCTCGTTTCTGCGGTGAAACCTGCCTTGTAGGGGGAATGTCTGAGGATGCAGTGAGGCTCAGGGAGACAACACCTGTGACGGCCCCCCAGACAGCGGGCAGCTGTGGCTCACTCTAGAGAACAGGAGGGAAACTTCTGCAGCCGCGCTCAGCTTCCCACGGGGGAGACAGGTCTGGGAGGGGCAGCAGGAGCTCGGCCCCCCTCCCTCTGGACAGGCTGCCAGGCAGAGCTAGGGTCCCCGCTGAGCTGCCCCCGCCCCCCACCCCCACCCCCCAGGACTGCCAGGCCTCCGAGAAGTGCTGCGCCAACGTGTGTGGGCTGCGGAGCTGCGTGGCGGCCCGCTTCCCTGACGGCGGCCCTGCTGTGCCCACGCCGCCGGCCTCCTGTGAGGGCTTCACGTGCGCACAGCAGGGCTCCGACTGTGACATCTGGGACGGGCAGCCCGTGTGCCGCTGCCGTGACCGCTGCGAGAAGGAGCCCAGCTTCACCTGTGCCTCCGACGGCCTCACCTACTACAACCGCTGCTACATGGACGCAGAGGCCTGCCTGCGCGGCCTCCGCCTGCACGTGGTGCCCTGCAAGCACGTCCTCAGCTGGCCGCCCAGCAGCCCCGGCCCACCCGAGACCACGGCCCGCCCCACGCCCGGGGATGCCCCGACGCCACCCGCCCTCTACAGCAGCCCCGCCCCGCAGGCCGTGTTCGTGGGGGGCACGGCCAGCCTCCACTGCGAGGTCAGCGGCCGCCCGCCGCCGGCCGTGACCTGGGAGAAGCAGAGCAACCGGCGCGAGACCCTCATCATGCGGCCCGACCAGATGTACGGCAACGTGGTGGTCACCAGCGTCGGGCAGCTGGTGCTCTACAACGCCCGGCCCGAGGACGCCGGCCTCTACACGTGCACCGCACGCAACGCCGCGGGCCTGCTGCGGGCCGACTTCCCGCTGTCGGTGGTACGGCGAGAGCCGGCCGGGGACGCGGCGCCCACCCCCCCTGACCCGGCCGAGTGCCTGCCCGCCGCGCAGGCCTGCACCGGCGCCCCCTCCGGCCTGGTCCTCTGGCAGTACGACCCCCAGCGCGGGGGCTGCATGACCTTCCCCGCCTGCGGCTGCGAGGGCGGTGGCCGGGGCTTCGAGACCTACGAGGCGTGCCAGCGGGCCTGCGCCCGCGGCCCCGGCGACGCCTGCGTGCTGCCGGCCGTGCAGGGCCGCTGCCAGGGCTGGGAGCCCCGCTGGGCCTACAGCCCGCTGCTGCGGCAGTGCCACCCCTTCGTCTACGGCGGCTGCGAGGGCAACGGCAACAACTTCGAGAGCCGCGCGAGCTGCGAGGACGCCTGCCCCGTGCCGCGCACGCCGCCCTGCCGGGCCTGCCGCCTGCGGAGCAAGCTGGCGCTGAGTCTGTGCCGCAGCGACTTCGCCATCGTGGGGAGGCTCACCGAGGTGCTGGAGGAGCCCGAGGTGGGGGGCGGCGGCATCGCCCGCGTGGCCCTGGACGAGGTGCTCAAGGATGACAAGATGGGCCTCAGGTTCTTGGGCACCAAGTACCTGGAGGTGACGCTGAGTGGCATGGACTGGACCTGCCCCTGCCCCAACGTGACAGCTGGCGACGGCCCCCTGGTCATCATGGGCGAGGTGCGAGACGGCGTGGCCGTGCTGGACGCTGGCAGCTACGTCCGCACGGCGAGCGAGAAGCGTGTCAAAAAGATCTCGGAGCTGCTCGAGAAGAAGGCCTGTGAGCTGCTGAACCGCTTCCAGGACTAGCCGCCCCCCCAGCCCCCCACCCCCCCACCCCCGCCCCAGCGTCTGCCCACCCTGCCTTCCTGTCCTGCTGAATAAAAGCCTGACCTCATGGCCTGCGGGTGCCGGACCTCCTGGTGGGACCCTCACCCCACTCAGCCTGCCTTCCGGCTGGTAACCCGCTGCCCGAGGGAGCGCTGGCTCCTCGGGAACCTCCCGTGTCCCTGCAGGAGCACAGGCCGTGACCTGCCCGAGATGGGCACCTCCTCTCGTGGCAGCAGAGCCAGGCAGCCAGCTCAGTCCCGCCTCGGCAGTCCCTGAGCTCTCCCTCCTTCCTCTGCTGCCGGAGCCGAGCAACACGGTCCAGGATGCCCCCGAGCCCTGACTCCACAGGCCAGACCCCTCCTACCCCTAGTACAGAGCCCCTGGAGACAACAGCCTGCCCACCCAGCACCGCCAGAAATGCTCCCAGGAGCAGGCGCGGTTAACGTCAGCAATGAGCAGCAAGAAACACTTTATTCCCAGGTTCTAAGCAGCGCAGTGGCCACCAGCCAAGAGCCCCCAGACCAAGCAAGGGCAGTCCCCAGGGCCCAGCCCTGGGAGGCAGGGGCTGGCATCTGGGTTTATTCCAGAACGGGTCTTGGTGGAGACAGAAACATGCAGGAGAAAGTTACTCTTTCCGGAATATCAGGCACTTATTGTTGGCCGGCATGTCCACCTGGGGAAGATGTTTCGGCTGGAGCAGCTGCCCCTGGTCCCCAGGGAGGTCACCTGTGCCCCCAGCCCTTCCCACCTACCATCCTCTCCAGGAGCAGGCCACTGGCTTGGCCCAGGTCCTCCAGAAGGGCTGTGTCCCGCAGCCCCCACTCAGGGTTCCTGCAGTGGGAAGGAGGTAGGGGAGAAGGTGGAGTTGTGGCTGGGGGGGGGGGGGAGTCACCCAGCCCACCTGCCCTCCCAGCCAGGCCCCCCACCTATCCAGCTCTGACCTGCATCTAAGAGTGAGATCAAAGTCCACGTTACTCTGCGGAGTGATCTTCCCATTGATGGCATAAGGCTGTGGAGACGGGAAGACAGCTCTGCCGGCCACCCACAGACACAGGGTCAGCCATTCCTCAGCAAACAGGCAGACTGGCATGCTGGCACTCAGACAAAGAAAAGAACACAGCCCTCCCTGCCCCCAAGATGGGGGATGGCTGAGGACCAGCTGGTGAGCCAGGGGGTTGCAGGGAGCCTGGCAGGTGACCAGGAGGGAGTTCAAGAAAGAAGACACCGGGTGGGGTTTAACGGCGACAAGCAGTGGTGGGAGAAAGCAACCGAAAATACCGAAACCAAAATGAGAGAGTCCAGAAAGGAGAGCTCAGCATAGACTGGCTGGGATCGGGGTCAGGACTGGCCTGCCAGGGGAGGCCCACCATCTCCGGCAGGGACACTAACCCCATAGGTGATCAGCAGCGCCTTGGGTTTGAGCAGGTGTCCTGCTGCTCTGAAGAGCCCCTGGGGAGTGAGAAAACAGGGCACCGCTGAAGAGCGTTCTCTCCCCCACGCACCTGAAAGAGTCCTCAGTGCCCCATCTGAGACGGGGGGGGGGGGGGCGACCGCCGCCCTGCTCCCTCCTGCTGCACCGGGAGGGGTGCTGCATGGCCCACAGACCTGCTCCCACAGACCTCGGTGCAGTTGAGGGGGCTGATGTGGATCATGTTGATGCAGAGCAGCAGGTCCAGCGACTGGGGAAGGATCCCGCCCCAATGCTCCCAATCCCAGGTCACGTCCAGGTACAGCGGGGCCTTCACGTTGGACAGGCCCTGAGCCTGAGTGGTGGCCGAGATGCTGTGGAAGGGCAGCACCTGGTTGGGGGACCTTCGAGGGGTCTGGGTGGCGTGAGGAGTCTGGACAGCGGGACAGGCCCCGCTTCACCTGCCCTTGCTTCCCGCCCACTTTCACCAGCCGGGACCCGGCCTTCCGGGAGCCCTTCCGCACCTGTCCAGGCAGCGCTGGTCCACGTCGGACGGCTGCCACTCGGCGTGGGGGAAGGCCCGCGCGAAGTGGGCCGTGTGTTGGCCGGAGCCAGAGGCCACCTCGAGCACTCGAACACCGCGCTGGGCCGGGTCCATGTACTGCCGCAGCACACGCAGGATAGGCTCCTTGTTCCGCTCTGCGGCCGCAGCCACCAGCATCGCAGCAGCTCAGCCGGCCCGCGGGTCGCCGTACTCCGTCGCCGCGAGGCCCGCCGGGAGCCGTAGTCCGTCGCCGCGAACCCTGCCGGAAGCTGTGGTCCGGCCTCCCCAAAGACTACAATTCCCAGGAGGAGGCGCGCAGCGCGTTAAGGGGCCCGCAGCCGCGGGAGTCGCACCGGGAGCGGCAGCCAAGCCGAGGGGACTGGGCACTGAGTTGGGGTCACTGGTTTACAGGTGACCATCAGCTCGGCGCCCAGGCGTCCGTGGCCGCTCTGGCATTTTCAAAGCTCTTGTTCTCTGAAATCGTCTCGTTCGCGCTGCACTAGAATTGGTGTTTCCCCGGTTCTGATTTTCTTTTGAAATTGCAGTCGTCAGCGAGTCCGTCTAGTCGACATGGGGGAAAACTAAAACGGACGCTTGCGCCGCCCGGGAATCGAACCCGGGTCGCAAGAATGGGAATCTTGCATGATACCACTACACCAGCGGCGCCCTTGTCAGGCCTTCTACCCGCGAGACTTAAGAGATGGTGACGCACCCTCTCCTCGCGCAGAAGTACTACGGTGCATGCGCGCTGCCTCGGGGGAGGCCGGCCCCTGCGCACTGCAGCCGGCAGCCGCGGTGGGAGCACCGATCTTGGCGGGGTCCGCGTGCTGGGGGATCTCGCGGCGTCGCTTGGGCGCCCAGCGCTAGAGAGGAACGAGGGGGCCTAAGGGAGGCTGGCTTGAGGCCCGGATTCGCGCCGGCGCCGTGGAAACCATGGCAACCGCGGGCGTTCGGCGGGGAGGGGCCGGGGCGGGGCTCCTCGTGGGCGGGGCTCCCTGCGGGCGGGGCCGAGGGCGAGCGGGGCGGTCCTAGCCGCCGGCCCCGCGGTCCTGTGCTGCCCGGGGCTTTTCCGGTGAGGCTGACCTGACCAGCGCTAGCCCAGGGTCCCCGGACGTTGTGAGGAGGTCGGAGCCCTATTTGTTGTGTCCAAGGTGTTTTCCCCGTTGACGGCTTGGGGCCCGTGTCTCCTAGGGGCCCTGTTCTGCAGCCGGCCAGTTTATCTTTGGTGGGCAGCTTCTCACGAGTGAGATCCCCAAACCCGACGTCACTCTGGCCAGAGCTCAGATGGTGGCCCTGACCCGGGCTTTAACCTGGGATTGTCGTGGAGGGGCCGAGATGTGGGCTTCGTCAGGGGAGGATGGCAGTCTTGCAGCTTAGGCTGGGGAAGTGGTGTGGGGCTGGCCATTCTGGACAGGCCCCCTGGGCCAGGCAGCTCTGCTGGCATTCTGCACGTGACCACCATTTCACAGCCCCGGCTTTCCTTTCCTGAATGCGCTTTTGCCTCCAGCCACATTGGGTGTACTCTGCATTTTCCTCGTCCTTCCATGTGTGGGCGCGGAGAGGAGACTGCTGTTTGTGCATGACAAGCCCCTTTCAACCTTACCTGGGTTCCCACCAAGCAGGTGACCCTTGGGCCTTGGGGGCTGGTGTTCGGGGGACCCAACCTGTGATTAGCAGGTGGGAGACCGAGCTGATCACCCAGGACCGATGATCTCATCAACCACACCTGTGTTACGGGGTCTCCACAAAGACCCCAAGGAAAGGGGCTCGGGAGCCTCCGGGCAGGTCAAAGGACACACGGAGTTGCCGGGAGGGTGGCGCGCCCCCGCAGGGCCTGGAGGCTCCCAGCCTCTTCCCCACCCCTTGCCCTGTGTGTCTCTTCCATCCCTGTTCCCAAGAGTCCTATCCTTGACGATGGACCAGTAAACATGAGTGAGGATTTCCCTGAGTTCTGTGAGCCGTTCTAGCAAATTATGGAGGCTGAGAAGGGGGGGGGGCGCGCCGTGAGAACCTGACCGGAGTTAGAGTTGATGGATCAGAGGCACAGGTGACAACCTGGATTTGTGACTGGCATCGGAAGAGGGGGTGGTCTCGTGGGACTGGGCCCTCAGCCCCGGGGGTCTGCATAATGCCGGATAAGAGTGTCAGAATTGAGTTAAGTTGTAGGACACCCGGTCGACGTCTGCAGAGAACTGCTTGGCGAGGAAAACCCACACACTTGGTGTCTAAAGTGTTCAAAGTGCAGAAAACGTTGCTTTCTTTTACACCAGATGTTCTCTTGGGACGGGGAACCTGACTGACCGGTGTCCCTGCTTCCTCCATGCCCTATGGCCCTGCTTCAGAAGCTGTCCAAATGCCCAGCAAAGTCTTCCTTTCAACAGCACTTGACCTTGGGTTGATACCCGCCTGCCATATTTGTCATTCCGGGCTGGACGCCATGTGAGCTACCCCCTGCACTGGGCGCTCACCAGGCTCTGACCTGGAGAAGGCAGACCTGCAGCCTTTCCTGCGTTGTGTAGGTGAACTCGTGCACATGCCTGCGAAGGCTGGTGTGCACACTTGTGAACGCACACTTTCTGGAAAGTCATGGATGTGTGTCACATGGATGTGACTCTGGGAGGATCCAGGCCCCCCAGCAAATGCTGAACGGTGGACCCCTGGAAGTGTCCCCTGACGTAGAAAATGTTGGGGTTCGGCACTGACAGTCAAGAAGGAATTCTTGAGATGTGTTTTGGTGCAAAAAGGTGGTTTTATTAAAACATGGGAATAGGAAATGTGGGTACAAAGAGCTGCCCTGGGGTCGTGAGGAGCGATGGATTATGTACTTTCAAGTTGGGAGGGGCTTAGAGATAGTATAAGTCTCTAAGAAATTTTGGAAGCAAGGTTTCCAGGACCTCGAGGGGGCCAGCTGTTGTTAGGAAAGGGTCATTACTACTGTCCAATAAATCCTAGTCATGAAACCCTTCAGGTGTAGATCAGCAGGCCATAAGCTTGGAGTGTGGTTGCCAACATGTATCGTGGGCAGGAAAAGACAAGGGAAGTTTCCAAAGGAGTTTTTACATGTTAAAGTAGACTTATAGGATCGGGGGTGTCAGGCTAAGGTTGCCTTTTGCCCTTAGCAAAGCGTCACCACGGAGGCAGCTGAGCTCCCAGAGGAAGGTCACTCTGCCAGTTTCAAGGACTTGTCAATGGGCTGTAAGTTGTAAGGAAATTTCATTTTTCCTTTGCCTTTGGTTCCCACATCATCCCCCCCGCCCCACCCCATGGCCTGTGCTCCGTGGGGCCTCCTGAGGTTTTGTGTCCTGAGGTGGAATCCGGCTCCCAGGCAGCCCTCTTGAGCTTCTCACCCACTGTGTGGAAGTTTCTGTGGCACGGGGCACCTTTCCAAATGAGTGTTTATCCACATGATAGAATCTCTAGTGCCCAGAGAGCCATGAGCAAACAAGACATCCCCTGCCCTGCTGCCCACCCCGATGGGGGTGTGCGCTTCCTCCCTAGCCCCGCCCCCCCCCCCCCACACTTCCTATTTCCTTATCACTGCTTCCCTTCCCTTGGCTTCCTGGAGCCAGCGTAACAAATCACCCCAAGCTGGGTGGCTTAAAACAACAGTAAAATATTTTCTCATGCTTCTAGAAGCCAAGTCCAAGGTAAAAGTGCCTGCTCACTCCAAAGGCCCTATAGGAAGATGGTTCCAGCTGCTGGTGGCCGCTGTTCTGCATGCTGGGTGAGGCCCCACCCCTCTGTCTAGCTGCCCCTCTCCAGCTTGGGGATGGGTTCCCAGCTTCTCCACCAAAGGCCATGTTACCGGCCCCTTGCAGGGGGGTCCCAGCCAACTTGCCTTCAAGGACAGTGTAGTCTAGGGGAAGGGGAGTGAGTCTGGGGACAGAAACTTCAGCTCCCCAGGCTCCATCCCAAGCTAGGGTGTGTCCTGGGGGCAGCGAGGCTGAGCCTACATCTCTGGGGGAGACCAGCCCTGCTCCCTACAGGTGCCTTCCTCCTGCTGTCACTCCCCCCCCCCCCCACTGGAGCTAACCCCTCACAGTTCCCACTCCCCATGTTGTGCTCTCTGCCTGTTTCAGCCCTGCTCTGAGGGGGAAGTGTAGGGAAAGTGGGGCTGCATTTGCTCCAGGGCCACTGCCCCTCTGGTGGCAGCTCCCGGACTGAGACATGGCCCCATTGGACTCCCCAGGCCCTGGTGCCTGCTGCATTCAGCCTCCTCACATACTTGTGGGAACAGTGTAGGAGCCCCGTGGGAGCCACACAAGCCTCGGGGGTGGATTCCAAGACCCCCGGACAACTCTGGACAGAGTGTTTTCTTGGGTGGGGGGATGTTAAGGATTGAATTCAACCAAATGGAGGATGAGGGGAGCCTTATGCTGAGCCCACCAGGTCCTCAGGCTCACAGGCTCCAGAGTGCCCTGGTTCCCCGGCCTCGACCTGAGGAGCTCCGGAGCAGCCTGTGAGCTAGAACAAAGGAAGCCTGCGGGTGGGAGGCCACCTGGCCCCTACATTCCAGGCAGGCCTGGTCCCCCGGGCAGCTCTGGAGGGGGACCTCTATGCCTCCAAGAGGGCGGGAGTGGGAGGTGACTGCTCCCTTCCAATTGGAGTTAAACAGGCAAACCGGGCGTCCTCACCCACCTTCTCTCTCCCCAGGATATCACCCTCACACTGGTCCCAGTCTATAAGGGGCCTCCCTTCCCTGAAGCTGGGTGGGGACCCTGGCATGGGAGGCTGAGTCAGGAAATGGAGTGCACCCACTATTCCTGTCCCCTGGTGTGGAAGGGAGATTCCCAGGGCGCGTTGGGTCCCTGCCCAAACCCAGGGGGCGGACCCACTTTTTCTGGTCTCTGGCCCAGCAGTCCCAAGACACAGGCCCAGAATGCCCCCTGATACCGGCCCAGGCCCACGCAGGCACCTTGGCCGAAGCTCCCCGACAGGAGTGGGGGCAAGCCTTGGTTCCAGGGTCCACACAGAGCGTTCCCAGCGCCTGCCAACGCCCCCGCCTCCCCCGCGGCTCACCTGGCCTTCAGGCGGCCGAAGGCCGTCCCAGGCCTCAGAACGCTTCCTCTGCCTTGGCCTTGGGCCATGCGGGGTGGGGCGCTGGTTACTGCGGCCCCGGCCGGCCTCCCAACGGCCCGACCTCCGCCGCGTGCCCCGAGGCCGACCGGTACGCGCGGGCCCTTTAAGGGCCGGGGGCGTGTAGCGGCCCGCCCCCTCCCCGCCGCGCCCGGCCGCCGGTTAAAGGGGCCGCGCCCTGGGCCCCCGCCGAGTGCGAGCCCGGGCGGAGGGCAGGGCAGGGCGTGCGTCCGGGCGAGCGCGCGGGCTGGCTGCCCGTCCGCACCATGTACACCATCACCAAGGGGCCCAGCAAGCTGGTCGCGCAGCGCCGCACAGGTGCGTGGGGCGAGGGGCCGGGGGCGGGCAGGGCCGCCGGGGGGAGGGTCCGCGGAGTGACCGCCCAGCCTCGGCGGCGGCTGACGCGCCCCGTGCCCGCAGGTCCCTCGCAGCAGCAGGTGGAGAGCAGGCTCGGCGAGCTCCTGAAATGCCGGCAGCCCGCGCCGCCGACCCCATCGCCCCCGCGGGCGCAGCCGCCGGGACCCTGGCCCCTGTCGAGGTGAGACGCGTGGGCCGGCCGCCGCGGCACAGAGAGGGTGACCTTGGGGAAGGTTTGCGGAGACCCGGCCACATGCCCCGGGAGGGCGCGCGGGCAGCTCCGGCTTCCGCACCTCGGCGCCTCCACCTCACCTGGCACCGGGCTGGGTCGGAGGGGCTGGGCTGGATGTGCATGAACCCCTCTCCCGCGCTCGTCCTGTGGGATCCTGGCGACCCCGAGTGGGGAGGAAGCTGACCAGCTCCTGGATCGGAGGAGCTCCACGCGGCTGACTCACATGCCCCGGGCGACCTTGGGCCGCAAGGCCGAGGTTTGAGGCGAGCTGCCCAGGAGGACAAGAGCAAAATATCCCGGGGAGTGCTGGCCCTGAAGGCCTCCTGGCGCTGGCCCCGTCCTTGCGGAACCGGCTAGGGGAGAGGGTGCACGTGGTTCCCTCTGGCCCTGCCAGGCCACCGCTCTCCTCTACCCTTCACCCACAACACCCTCGCTGGGCACTGGGAGGCCTCCCACAGATGGTCAGGGCTTCCTGGAAGCTGCAGTTTTCTGCCTTTTTATGATCACCAGTTTTGCCAGCCTACAACCCCTGTGGCCACAGGAATGGCAGTCCCAGTCAGTTTGGCCTCCGCGTGACCTTGACCTGAAGGTCAGATCCTCTCCATCTCCCAGAGCCGAGCCTTTTACTTTTTTGTCTCGACTCTGGGCCTGTGGTGTCACTTATTCTGTGCATTTCCTGGGCCCTGGGCTTTCTTCTAGGCCCACAGAGGCCTGAGGCCGCCTGCACTAGGGCTGTGTGTCCAGGCAGCAGATAAACAAGGTGGCATCGCTGAGGAGGGTGCAGGTGACGGGCGCCTGCCTGGAGGCGGCATCCTGTGGGGATCTTTCTGGGCCGAGACTCTTCCCCGGGGGGCCTTCTGCTGGGGGCCGGTTGACACTTGGATCCTAGTGATGAAAATGTTCTGGGCCAGCCACAGGTGTGTCGTGGGGAGACAGGTGAACGGGGCCTTGGGGGGTGACTCCTGGGACCCAGGCTGAGCTATAATATTGCCTTGTGATTTCAGCTTGGGCCCTCACAGCTGCCCTACTGCCCGGAGGAATAAACGAGACCTAGGCATATAGCCACCTCTGGTCACCCAGGCAGACAGTCTGGGACCCAAGTGGCCCAGGCGCTCCACCTGGAGAAACTTACCACCATCTGCCCGTTGTCGCTGGCCCAGGGCGCATCCGGGACACAGCTGGCAAGAGCTAGGGAAGAAGACGGGACAGACAGCATAGAGCCCTTCACACCCCCCAGGAGGCCTCACCTTTGTCCTCATCTGGCCCTAGCCAGTTGGGCACACTGCAGCCTGCCAGGCCACGGGGCTGCCGACCAGCCTGGGCCTGAGGGAGCGTGTCCCTCAGTGTCCCGCTTGTGTAGGGAGTAGTGAGGCACGCAGTGTGCTCGCTGGGCCGGCCCACTCCCTTCCCAAATCACTCCCTCTTTTGGAGCTGCCCCTGCCCCCAGTCCCAGTTGCCTCGAAAGGACCCTGCCAGGAGGCCAAAGCAGCCTGTGGGTCCTCCCTACCCCCTCTCCTGCACCTTCTCAGGGCCCCCCCCCCCCCCAAAACGGCTGCAGCGTTCCTATTGTTTTCTCTGCTGTGCCTTTGTACTGCCCCAGCATCCCTCACCCTGACTGGCCGGTGAGAGAGGGCGTGTCTGGGCCGCTGCCGCATCCTCTACGCCTGGTGCCCTACAGGTGTGCCAGGTGTCTGACCAGCTAAATATACAGGCTGGGGTTCCAGCCAGGCATGGGTCTGGGCACTGGCCATGGTGGTGAACAGGCCACGTGGGTCTGTGCCTCTGAGGAGCTCTTGCTCCCAGCGTGAGACCGACGGGAGAGAAAACATCAGTGGAGGCGATATCCGTCCTTGGAAAGAAAATACTACGACGCCGCGTGACCACCTGTGGTCATGTGAGCAGGTGGGGGAGGCGGCCTGGGGGTTTTACCGAGCCGTGGGCTTTGAGGTCAGACAGGTGTGCAGTTAAGTCCTGAAACTGCCACCCATACGCAGCATGTGACTTTGGGCGGGTCACTTCCCTCTCGAGGGGTCTGGGGCCCTGGGCTGGAAAACGGGTGGGCGGCTGACCTCAGGGGTCGGAGAGGAGACTATGTGACAAGATACCCAGGTCGGCCTGAGCAGGGGCACTGGAGCATGCCTGGGGGCACCACCCTTGGGAGCAGGCACAGTGTGGCCTTCATCTACAGGTGCACGCTCGAGCCAGTGTCCTTTCACCAGAAGGCCTGTGGAGGGGCCTTACGTAAATGACTCCAGGCAGCAGGCAGGTGGGCGCCTGCCCCTCGGGCCCCTACGCAGCCTTGGTCAGGCCACCACCGTGGTCCCTGTGATTCACAGCCTATGGCTGCAATTCCCTTTTTTGTTTTGCTTTTTTGATGTCCGGCCTCCACTTTCCTGGAACCAGCAGCCTTTGTGGGGGCGGGGGTGGCAGGCGAGGGGCTGTCCGAGTCAAGGACAAACCTTCACACCCCCCTGGCTGGTGCAGCTCAGGCCTGGGAGGAGCCCCGCCCCTCTACATTTTCTTGGGCCACCAGACCCTGCCGGCCCAGAGCTGGCGGGACCGGTGCCCCTCAAGACCCTCCTCTTTATTTTAGCGGCCCTCTCAGCCAAGGAGGACCCCCGAGCGGCGGTGGGGCACCTGAGCCCAGGAAGGCGAGCAGGCCGGCGGGACCGCGAGTGCCTGGTGGAGTGGCACGTGCAGCCCAGGACTCCCGGCTCCCACCTCCTGCTGTAGGTGCGGGCCCCACCCCCTCCACGCCCCGTCCTGGGCTTTGTGTGTGCAGGGCCAGGCCAGCTGCCGCCAGCCGGAGCGGCCCATCACCGCCCTGGGCCCTGCTGACTGGGACAGACCCAGCGGCTCCCTGGACATCCCACACCCAGTAGGCTGAGCCCCGGGCTCCCGGGGACCGCCTCTTCACTCAACATTCCCACCCCTGTGGGCAACAGCGGTGCCTGGTCTGGGGCCTGCAGGGTTGGGCTGGGGTCGTAGTCACGCCTCCCCGACCCAGCGGTCTTCGGTCAGACCATCACTTAGGGCTCATCCCCACGGAGCCTGGGGCGGCCAGGAAGAGGGAAGGGCTCAGACCACCTTCTTGTTTGGGTCCTTCCTCCCACACTGGGGGTAGTGGTGAGACGGAGAAGCTTTTGTGGGGGAAGAAGATGGCCGAGAATTGTGCTTGGGACAGAGTGAGCCGGCAGTAGCTTAGGTCAGAACAGGGGCTGCCGGAGGCCTGGCCCGTCCTGGGGAGGCGGGATGCAGGTGGCCGCAGGGGTGCCCGAGAGACCCTTGGACAAAGAGCACCTGTGTGCCTTGAGCAGGGAACCCTGCTGGGGATCTGGGACATGGCTGGGGACCGCAGGTGTGAACTGAGCTGCTGGGGGCCTGGGCCTGGGGGGAGCGGCCTCGACCACCCCTGCAGCCGCCCTGAAGTTCAAGGAAGTGCCTGGGCCGGGCCCGGGCCCGGGGTGGGGGTGTGTGGCCTGAACCTGCTCCTGGAGCTTTGCCGGGCATCACCTGGGCTCTGGACAGTTGCTGACTGGCTCCTCCCCCCTCCACAGCCCGGGGCCAAGGCTCGTGTTCAATCGGGTGAATGGCCGGCGGCCCCCCGTCACATCTCCATCCCTTGAGGGGACCCAAGAGACCTATACACTGGCCCATGAGGAAAACGTCCGATTTGTGTCTGAAGGTAGCGTTGAGGCCCGAGGGTGTGGCTCGGGCCCCTGTTCCTCTTCCCCACTGCCATCTGACTCAGAGTAGCCAGAGGGCCGGGCCCTTCCTCGACTCTCTATTTGTCCCATGACCGTCCAGGGGACTGCCTGCTCCAGTTCTGGGCCGGGGTCCAGGGTGGCCACCAGGCTCTGGGCGGAAGACAGGATGCCAGGGCCCTGGCTCAGTCCGACTGCCCTCTCCCCACAGCGTGGCAGCAAGTGGAGCGGCAGCTGGGTGGTGGCCCAGCTGGCGAGAGTGGGCCCAGGCCCGTGCAGTATGTGGAGAAGACCCCCAACCCCCGGCTGCAGAGTGAGCCCTCCCCTGCCCTCAGGGAGTCCCCCCCACTTCCTCTGACCCTGACCTGGGCCCTGCTGGGTTCTAGCCCCAGGGGATTGGGGAGGGCGCTTGAACTTGACCCGCTTTTTCCTAGCGCTTGCTACATTTGGGCCTGGGTGAAGGGCTTGCGGTCAGCTCACAGGGAGAGACACTGACCGACCTGGAAGGCAGCGTCACTGCCCAGCCTTCTACTGTGCCCGCAGACTTCGTGCCCATTGACCTGGACGAGTGGTGGGCGCAGCAGTTCCTGGCCAGAATCACTAACTGCTCCTAGCCACCTTGGAAGGAACCGCTCCCCTGCAGGGCCCAAATGAGCCTCGTGGTGGACCCCTGCCAGGAGAGGACCACGGCGCCCTGATGAACTGCTGAGGCGGACCATGCTCCACCCTGAGCCCGGCCAGGCGCCGGCCACACCTGAAGTGCCAGCATTTGGACTTTTGCACCTGCTGACCCCTTGGCCCGGCTGTCCCATGCTGCCAGGGGCTGAAACTGTCTGACCTCAATCCTGCTCACTGTGCCCAGGGACCAGCCCCTAGGGCTGGCAGGGAGGAGCTCCAGGCTAATAATAAAGTCGAGAAACTGCCCTTTTTGAGTGGCTGTTACTTGGTGCGTGGGGGGGTGGGGTCAGGGTCCTCCTTTCCCTGTGCCACGTCCAGCCCGACCTTTCCTTGGCTCCACAGTGCGGTTTTAACCAGTTCTGGCCCTCCTGGGTCCTGACAGAGGTGCCGGGGCCCTGGGCCAGCTCCTCTTCCTTGGATATCACTGGACCTACCCTGCACCACCCGGCTTTCTCTTCCCTTGGCAGGTGCTTTACCCCATCTCCAGACCCACAAATGTTACGAAACTAGCCCTGGGATATAGTCCCAGTGGCTCGGGGCTGGGGCCAAGTCTCAGGATGCCTAGTCCTGTCTCTTAATACCCCAGAGCTGCTGGACACTGAACACAGGTGAGTTGCCCTGTGAAACACTGCTTTGCTTCTTGGGTCGGTGGGGTTGCCTGCGGCTGACACGGGACCGAGTGGAGTACCCCCGGTGTGGACGGCATCGCTAGAGGGCTGGAGGCAGCAGGTGGAGCCCAGTCTGGGCCGTCGGTGGGTACGGACTAATTCTGCCAAGCGCGTTCCCACCACACATGGTGTTCCCGCTATACAGGTGGGCCCCAGAGAGGCCCCTCCCAGGTCCCCACAGCTAGACTTGCTAGAGCATCCCCGCAGGGCCCCGGCTTGAGAGTGGCCGCAGAGGCCCGAGGCGTCCGAGAGGCTGCGGACAGCGGGCCAGGAGCACCCTCCGGCCGTGACCCGGGCCGCGCGACCGGACTCCTGGCAGATCGCAGTCACGCGGCCAGCACCGCGCGCTCTCGTGCGGCTCCGCCCCGCCGCAGGTCACGTGGCCCCGTCCGCGGGCCGGCGGAAGTGGCGCCGTTGCCAGGCGGCCGTTGCTAAGCGCGCGCTGCGTGCCCTGCGTAGGGTGAGCGGCGGTCTAGGCGGGAAGTGCGAGCTGGGACGCCATGGCGAAAGGTAGCGGCGCGCGGGAGGTCGGGGCTCGGGGTCCGAGGTTCGGGGACCGGAGCGTACTGAACCCGCGCTGCCCCAGCCGGGTCCGCGCGCTGTGATCGCCGTCACCGTGGGGGGAGCGTAGAGCCAGACTTTGGCCCCTCCCTGGAAGGTCTGGAGGCCCACGGAGGGATGCCGCTCTCCTCTCCCAGGACCCGCAGGGTTCTGGTACCTGGGGACGGGTCCCCCGTCCCCAGGACGCGCGGGTCTGGCACCCGGGGACAGGTTTCCCCCAAGGACCCGCGGGGGTCTGGCACCTGGGGTCGGGCCTTCATGCCCGTGGGGGTCCTCATACCTTTGTGACCCCCCAGCGTGGCAGCACCCGTTCCTCAACGTCTTCAGACACTTCAAAGTGGGCGAGTGGAAGCGGTCTACTAAGGAAGGCGACGTGACTCCTGTGACAGTAAGTGGACAAGGGACTTGGTGGCAGCAGCAGGGACCCGTTCGCTCCTGAGACATTTCGTAGAACCACCCAAGGGTCACGCGTGTGCTGCTTTGTCTCTTTTCAGGATAAGACTCTCAAGTGCACGGTGTATCGCATCCGGGGTTCCGTGTCTGCCGGGAATTACATTCAGCTCCCCCAAACCAGCACCCAGTCTTTGGGGCTCACGGGACGGTACCTGTATGTGCTGTTCCGGCCCCTGCCCTCCAAGCACTTCGTCATTCATCTGGACGTAGCCACCGAGGTGCCGAGCTCGGGAGTGGGGGCTGGGGGGTGGGGGGTGCGTTCCTGCAGCCCCGCTTGTCTTCTCACGGTCATGCTCTGCCTGCAGGACAGCCAGGTCATCCGTGTGTCCTTCTCCAGCCTCTTCAGGGAGTTCAAGTCTACGGCCACGTGGCTTCAGTTTCCCTTCATCTGTGAGGCCCGGACGTCTAGGAAAGGTGAGGTGGAGGCAGGGAGCGAACAGGATTCAGCGGTCCCGGAGAGGCAGCCTGGGAGCGGGGAGGGAGGTGGGCAGGCCCAGGCACAGGGGTAGGTGCTGGGGGGCACGCGTGGTTGCGGCCAAGTGGAGCGCCGTGGGCTGGCCGCCGAGACCACGGGCACTGATCTTGGCCCGTGCTGTGCAGACCTGGCTGGCGTTGCCCCCTCTGGTGCCCGCTGGACGTGCCTGCAGCTGGATCTGCAGGACATCCTCCTGGTCTACCTGAACCGGCGTTATGGTCACCTCAAGAGCGTCAGGCTGTGCGCCAGTCTGCTCGTCAAGAGCCTCTACACCAGCGATTTGTGCTTTGACCCCGGTAGGCGCCGCAGCCCGTACCCAGTGCTCCTACCGCAGCGTCCCCTCCCGCTGCCCGTGTGCGCCCCCCCTCCCTCCGTCCCGGGGTTCTCGGCAGGAGGGGCTGGCATCGCAGCCGTCTTGGAGCCCCCCGACTCCTGAGGCGCCCGTGGGGGGCAAGGGGCAGTGGTGGCTGGGCTGGGGACCGGGTGACACCGTATCGTCCCCCGGTGTTGAGTCTCGCCTGTGTTGGAAGAGGGAGCCGGGTGGGCTTCCTTGAACCGGTTCTGCCTTTCGTAGCCGTCACCGTTGCCGAGGCCCGGCGGGCAAAGCTGCCTGTCACTCCTGTACCTCGAGAAATGGCATTCCCGGTGCCCAAGGGGGACAGCTGGCACGAGCACTACATCCACATCCGGTGAGCGGCTCTGCCCGTCCTGAGGCGGCTGCCGAAGGGAGGGCAGGGCAGTCTGGACCCTGACTCTCCCTCCACCCCGTTAAGGTTTCCAAGTGTCGGCTCAAGAGCACCTTCCGAGCCGGCTCAGAAGAGCCGCTCCCCTGCTGAAGCAGGTGGGCCTGTGGGGTCAGCAGGGACGTGGAGCGTGGCAGGAGCGGGTGTTGGCACCGTGTGGGGGTGGTGAGCCTGGGGGGATGGGGCCCGCGGGGGCCGGGCCTAGTCTGGAGGCCGTCCTGGGGTGCCAGAACTGTGCGGGAGGTTGTGTGGGGTGCCTGCTGGTCTCAGACCTCGCCGGGGGCCCAGGGTGGAAGGGTGGGCTGCGGCCAGAGGAGTGGCGAGGCCAGGGCCCACGTTCTCCCCAGGCCTCTGTGCTCTGCTCCACACGCATTTGCTCTTTTCCAGTTTTCCCGGGGCGCGTGCGGGAGCTCGTCCCTCCCCCAGTGGCTTTCAGTAATCCTTTCCCGGACGGCGTGTCCCCCGCGGTCCAGATGTTTGGCCCCACAGCCGTGAGTGCTCCTGCGCCCTCGGGGATGGGGCTGGAGGGTGGTGGCCCTAGGGTGCTGACAGGCACTTGTACCTCTGCGGTCTCGCCAGGCCCGGCCTGTGCCCAGGCCCCTTCCGGAGGTCAGCTTGCTCTGTGAGCACTCGGAGGTCCCCAGTATGAATGGCCCCCGTGACCGTAGCCAGGAGCCCTCGGCCAGGGCGGAGGTCACTGACAAGCACACAGCCGGCGACGGTGTTCGCACGGCTGCCCCGGAGTCAGCCGTGGTGCCCGTGGCCCTGGAGGATGTGGCCCCGCGCCAGGTCAGTGCCTTTTCCCAGGAAGGTAGGGGCCTTGAGTGGGGGTGAGGCCTTGAGGGAGTGGGGCCTTGATGCGGTATGGACAGGGGCTGCTGGGCTTCTGATAACCGTTTGTCTTCCAGCCTCCTGGGAGAAAGCAGAGCAGGCCAGAGATGACTTTGGGCGAGACTGTCTTTGAACAAAGAGTAAGGAGGCACCAAGTGATCTTCAGGGGCCTTGGACTCCAGGCAGGGGCAGGAGCTAGAGTCCCTGGAGGATCCGCACTGTGGCCACATCCTGGCTCCCTGCCACAGTGCAGCTGGCAGCCACAAGGACGACGGCACTTTCTCGGGAGGGAGGGACTGGCCCTGGCTGGTGCAGTCCCAGTGGATGGGGCCTCGCCTCCTGGGGTCTCACTGGGACTTTGTTTCTTTCAGAGCTTTCTTCCGGATCCGATCCTCAAGCTCAAGGGCGTCATTGGCTTTGGGGGCTGCAGTACCAAATGGGTGAGGGCTCTTATGTTCTTTTTGGATCACGTGTCAACTACACAGAGGGTGCAGTGGGAGAAGCCTATGTCTCCCCCGGTTGCCTATGTGGACACATAAGCTTCCTTAGGGTGTTGAGGTCCTCAATCCCATGCCTGCACGTGGCTCTGTGTTTTCTTAGTGGACGTGTGGACTTCCTGTCCGGACGTCCCTTGCTTGTTCCACGAGCACAGGCTGGGTCAGCACTGGCCCGGCTGCTTGCGCTTCCCTCGGCCCGAGAACTCACACTTGGCTGTGTGAGGCGCTGATGCTTGTCGTCTGGCTTGTGGGGCTGGGCGTGGGCACCACCTCTGGGTCTCTACGGTCCCGTGCTTGCCACGGGTTTCTGTGGGTTCCGGTGTTTCGTTGTCTGAGCCCCAGAGTTTCTTGTATCGCAGACGGGGTTCAGAGGAGGCCCTGTGTGTGTGTGTGTGGGCGCGCGCGTGTGCGCATCCCGGAAACACAGGGTGGGGTGTGCCGGGGTTGAGGAGGCGTGAGGCCAACCGGCCTGTGACACCGGACTCTGGCCCCCGTGCACAGGCCCTGTGGACCAAGGATGGGGCTGCTGTGGTGTATCCCTGCCACGCAGTCATTGTGGTCCTGCACGTGGACACCCGGGAGCAGCGTTTCTTTCTCGGCCATACTGACAAGGTGGGCACCACCGGCCCGTCCGCAGGGGCGCTCGCGCCTGCAGGCTGAGCCCCGTCCCTCAACCTGCCCCCTCCCCAGGTCTCTGCCCTGGCGCTGGATGGGAGCGGCTCGCTGCTGGCCTCAGCCCAGGCCCGGCCCCCGAGCATGCTGCGCCTGTGGGACTTCCAGACCGGGGGGTGTCTGTCCCTGCTCCGGAGCCCGGTCCACGCCCTCTGTTCCCTCAGGTGGGCATGGGGCCTCTGAGGGGTGGGGGGCCAGCTCCAGCGACGCTCACCGTCCGCCTGCTCTTGCAGCTTCTCCAGCAACGGGGTGCTGCTCTGTGGCGTTGGCAAGGACCCCCACGGGAGAACGGTAACGGGCCGGGGCTGGGGGGCCGGGGCGAGGAGCCCCACGGGCGAGCGGTAACGGGCCGGGGCTGGGGGGCCGGGGTGCAGCCAGAGTCCAGACTGCTTGGGAAGCAGAGCTCCCCGGCCGGGCCTCGCGCTCCATGCGCACCGTGTAGCACGGCGGGTTTTCAGCCATCCCCGACAGGGGCAGCGTTTATACGAGGCACGCTGTCCTTGCTGGCCGTGTGTCACACGTCAGCTCTTTGCAAGTCTGCTGCGTCCACGGGGTCTCCCGTGCTACCGCGGGTCCGTCTCTGCTTGCGGGTCGGTGTTCGCCGTTTCCGCAGACGCGCCCGGCTTCGAGCGTCTGTGGAAGCTGCGGGGTACGCGCGCAGGCCGACATGCCCACGCTCCTGGCCGCGAGGGCCCAGGCGGGCTGGTATGGGAAAGCAGGGCTGAGGCGTGGGGGAGGCCAGGCGGGGTGGGTGGGCGGGCTTTGGGCCCTCAGCACGGGTTTGTCGCAGGTGGTGCTGGCCTGGGGCACAGAGCAGGTGGGACGAGGCGGCGAGGCCATCCTTCTGGCAAAGACGCACACCGGCGTTGACATCCAGGCGTTTAAGGTTGCCTTTTTCGATGAAACCAGGTGATCGGACTGTCCTTGCCCTGCCCCTGCCCTGCCGGGACGGGTCCTGGGCAGCCCAGGGGCCCGGGTCGGGGCTGAGCCTGCCCCTCCTGCCTGGCGTGCGGACTGTCCTCGGTGTCGGGTTTCTGCCGGGCAGGATGGCGTCGTGCGGGCAGGGCAGCATACGGCTCTGGCGGCTTCGAGGCGGGGAGCTGCGTTCCTGCCCCGTGGACCTGGGGGAGCACCGCGCGCTGGAGTTGACCGACCTGGCCTTCGGGCAGGCCCAGGACAGCCGTACGCTGTGAGCCCTGCCCTCGCTCCCGTAACTGGCTGGGTCCTGCTTCCTGCTGCCCCTTCGGCCCTCACTTGTCGCTTTCCCGAGCAGCTACGTGTGCGGCCGCAGCGGCCACATCCTGGAAATCGACCACCGGCGCAGGGCCGTGCGGCGTGCTCGCCGCCTGTTGCCCACACAGACCCCCGGCGGCCACTCCTCACAGAAGCAGCCGTTTGGCGCAGGTGGGTGGGTCCCCCCGCTGCGTGGGGGGAGCGGTCCCGATGCTTTGGGCTGACGCTGCCCACCCCCTAGGCCCCGGCATTTCCATCAGCAGCCTCAGTGTCTCCCAGACCACGTGCGCCGTGGGCTCCGATGATGGTTACGTGCGCCTCTGGCCCCTGGACTTCTCCTCCGTGCTCCTAGAGGCAGGTGGGGCCATGACACCGACTGCCACCGCCAGAGCTGCCGTGGGAGGGCCGTGTTCTGGGGCCATCCCTTGGCTAGGAGGCAGTCGCGGGCTCCAGAGGGCTGAGTGCTGAGCCCAGAAGCCAGTGGTTATGGGGGAGCCGCAGGCCGTGAGGAGACGGGTCTGTGTGGGTAGGGTAGGGGCCGAGAGGTCGCCGAGCCCCCCTCCTTCCCCCTCGCCTGCAGAGCACGAGGGCCCGGTCTCTTGGGTCTGCGTCAGCCCTGACGGTCTGCGTGTGCTGTCCGCCACCCTCTCGGGCCACCTGGGCTTCCTGGACGTCCCCTCCCGAGAATACAACACGCTGGCTCGCTCCCACACTGCACCGGTGCTGGCCCTGGCCACCGAGTGCAGCCGAGGGCAGCTGGCCACCGTGTCCCAGGACCACACCGTCCGCGTCTGGGACCTGGCGACCCTGCAGCAGGTTGGGTGTGGCCAGAAGGGAGGCATGGCGGAGTCGGGGGGGGGGGGGGCCGGAAGGCTGCAGGCCACCCTGGGGGCCGGTGGGTGGGGCCCAGGCAGACGTGGAACACAGGAGGGCCCGTGGGGCCTGAGGGCTCAGGCCAGCTGGAGAGGTTGGCCGACGGGGCTCCTGAGGCCAGAGGCCATCTGGTAGCCCTGCCTCTGCGTGCGCTCACGGAGCCCCGCCCTCCAGCTGTATGACCTGAGGTCCCCCGAGGAGACACCGCGCGCCATCGCCTTCCACCCCACGCGGCCAGTTCTCTTCTGTGGCTTTGCCAGCGGGGCCGTCTGCTCCTTCAGCCTGGAGGCCGCTGGGGTCCTGGTACGGCACAGGTGGGTGCCCGGCGGGCTCCAGCCCCACAGACACCCGTGGTGGAAGCTGACGTGGCGTGGGGGGGGGGGCAGCTGGGCAGGGTGGGGGACGGCCCTCCGCTGCCCTCCGGGGACTCGGCCAGGCCCGGCTGTGAGAGGTCTGGGCGGTGGGTGTCCCTGTGTGGTACAGGCGTCACCACGGAGCGGTCACCGGCCTGGCCGCCAGCCCCGACGGCAGCTTCCTGTTCAGCTCCTGCTCTCGGGGCACCTTGGCCCAGTACCACTGCTCTACGACCCAGTGCTGCGTCCTGCGTGTGACAGGTCAGGCCCCCCGGGCCCCCCCCCCCCCCCGGGCCTTCCAGCCGTGTCCTTGTCGGGTCCCCGCGGGGTGGGGCTCACTCGCTACCCAGAGCTCCGGGGTGAGGGTGGTTTGGGACTCCTCGGCCCCCAGGTCAGTGCAGGTCCGTGAGGGTCTGTGCCAGCCTGCTCCAGGAGCAGGTGTGTGGCCTGAGCACCAGGTGGGGGTCGGCCCACCCCAGGGCACCCCCCAAGGCCATCTGTCTGTTTTCTCTCGTGGCTGCTATAACTCGGGCCAGCCAGGTGGTCACCTGGAGAACCGCCAGCCGCCCCGGCAGTAGCCGGGTAACCTGGTGCTCTCGCGTGCGGGTCTTGTGGGCTGTTGCTGTGTGACCCGCCAGGCTCTGGGCTGGTGTTTCCCACAGCTGGGGGGGGGGGGGCAGGTTTGGGTCCTGACCCGTGTCTCCCGCGGGTACCCTCTCTGCACCCAGTTGACCGTGTTCCCCCGTGCTGCCGGCAGCTAACATGGTGTGCCGGGATGCCCACCCAACCCCCAATGCCCTGGTGGTTAGTGGGGACAGCCGCCTGCTGGCTTTCGTGGGCCCCTCCAAGTACGTGGTGACCATCGTGAGCACAGCCTCGCTAGAAGAGGTGAGTCAGCTGGAGCTTTCTGTGTGTCTATGTCGGTCCGGCCACCAGACTCCGTGGGGATCATCTCTTGGCTGCTGCGTGACTGTCCTGGGTTCCACCAGGGTGGAGGGAGGCAGGGAGGGGCAGGGGCTCTCCTTGGCCCGGTATGGAGCCGGAGGGAGTTGAGGGGGCAGCTGGGAGGCTGTGCTTACCTCGGAGAGGGTCTAGGCTCCGCTGCCTTGACTCAGACACAGTGTGTGAGCCACAGGCAGGCAGGGCCGCTGAGCAGGGGCCTGAGGCCGCCCGCCTCCCGCGCTCTGGCTCTGGGGGCGTCAGCTCCGTCTGGAGGTCGTGGCCGGTGGCTACTTGCTGCTCTCCCCCAGCTGCTGCGAGTTGATGTCAGTGCCCTAGAGCTGGCCAGCAGCCGCCTGGACTCGGCTGTGGCCATCTGCTTTGGCCCCGTACCCCCCGGCCACCTGCTAGTGTCCACGTCGTCCCACACAGTGGTGGTGCTGGATGCCGCGTCGGGCCGCGTGGTCCGGGAGGTGAGCCCGGGGCTGTGGTCAGCGGCTTGGCTTCTTTTTCTCTCTGGGTTCCGGCTTTGCTACCTGCAGCGCCTCGAGGAGTCGGGGGGCGGGGGGCCCTGGGCCACCTGCTGCTCCTCAGAGGGGGCGTTTTCTGAGAAGGGAGGAAGGAGAGGCTTCTCCCACGCGGGGCCTCTGTGAGCTTCAATCTCCCTTCACCGACAAGAGCCCTCTTGCAGCTATCAGGCGTCCACTCTGTGGCCTGCCCCTCCCTGGCTCTCAGCAGGGATGCCCGCTTCCTGCTGACGGCCACTGACCGGCTCATCAGGGTGTGGGACTACCCGGCCAAGGCCAGCCCCGGCTGCCAGGTGGGTGCCGAAGGCAGGTGCATGGCGGGTGGTGGGAGGGCAGGTGGAGGACGATACCCTCAACTCACCCTGTGCCCGCTGGTGCCTGACACCCCGGAGGACCTCTTGCTCAGGCCCTGGTCTGGAGGGTCGGGGGGTCACAGCCAGGCCTGCAGGATGCGTCCGCTGCGTGAAGTGTGGAGCACTACTTCTGTCCCGGCGTTGGGAGGACCGTGGTGCCCCGGCCATGCCTTGAGGGCCTCTGGACATGCCTTCTGTTGCCCCCAGGTCTACATCGGCCACTCAGAGCCCGTGCGCGCTGTGGCCTTCGCCCCTGGCCAGCGGCAGCTCCTCAGCGTGGCGGATGCCATCTTCCTCTGGGACGTTCTGGGTGCTCCCGGGAGGTCACCTTCGGGAAGGCGAGTGCCCGCCCTCGACCCCTGTCCACCAGGCCTTTGGCTACCTGCCCCCCCCCACCTGACTCTTGTTGCCCCGCAGTGCTGGAGACTCACCTGGGGCACCCCCGACCTGCGAGGCTGGTGAGTGGCCCCACCACGTGGGTAGGCTTTGTGGTGATCTCTGGGGCCGGCTCTTCGGTCCCTGTGGGTAGCGTAGTGCCCCTGCCTTTCCCGGGGTCCCCAGTGCAGAACTGGGGTGTGTGGACACCTGTCTGTATGTGCCGTGCACGCCCCGGGCCCTGAGCCCAGGCTGACCTCTTGTGTCTCCAGGCCCAGGTGCGAGGCAGCTGGAGGACACTGAGGCAGGCACCGGTGGGCTCCCCCGGCAGCAGGTGCCTGTGCCATCCCAGGCTTCACCACTCCAGCGGGGCGCCCATGCTTGGCCCCTCAAGGGTGCTGACGGTAAGGGTGGGGGTCCTGGGAGGGACCGTTGGGTGGAGCCAGCATGCTTCCCTCCAGGCCTCTGGGGAGGGGCAGGGGCAGGGGCAGGGGCAGGGGCTAGGGGGCTCTGTTCCTTCCTCTCACCTTCCCCGCCCCTCCCCAGGTGCTTTCTCCACAGCAGATGAAGAAGGACCATCCCAGGAGAGCCACAACCCCGAGGGGCTCCAGCAGGCCTCAAGCCTGCCCAGGCTGCTGAAAGAGGCCAGCGGGGCTGGAGATGGGGCCCAGGGGGCTGCCGGGGGCCCCTGGGGCTTCAGCATGCGTCCCCACCCCTGTGGCTGGGCCAGTAAGCAGAGGAGGGGCTGCAGGGTGGGGCAGGGACACTCATGACCGGCCGGCCAAGGTGTCTTGTGGGTGCCAGGTGGCCTAAGGGAGGCCCAGCTGCTGACAGGCTGAGGTTTACCCTGTGAGGTGTTCCCTGCAGGGCAGGTAGGCTGGCCTGGGGCCCCCGCCGGGCCAGGCTAGCAGCGGGATGCAGCCTGAGTGCGCCCTCGACCTCAGGTATCCGGAGCGGGTCAGGCACTTGTTCCATCCGCAGGGCCAGCCGACCGACCGTGTGCGAGGAGGGGTCTCGGAACGGTCACGGTCACGGGTGCTCTGACATTCCGAGGCCTCTTCCTTCTCCCTGCCAGCTGCTCGGAGCACCACAAAAGCCCAGGCCCATCCCTCTGCTCGCCCAGACTGCTACAGGCACTTCACCGCTCGCTACAAGGCCTCCTCGCTGGTCAAGGTCAGTTGGGGGCATCCTCACGGCACCTTTCACAAGGAGACGCTGCGGGTCCTGGGGTGGAGGGGGCATGGCCCTGCATTTTCTGGGAGCCTTCTTTCTCCCTGGGAAGCTCAGTTTCCTGGGGTCTCCCTGGGTTGGCTGCCATAGCCCTTGGGGCCAGTCCCCCTGCAGCTCTCCCGTGCACCTTGTGTCTGCACTCTGGCTTGGCTGGTCAAGGCTCTTACTGCCCTGCTGACACCCACAGTGGCCCCGGGTGGTGTCCTGTGGAGCCTTCCCTTCCCCCCGCCCCCACCGCCCCTCCCTCACCTGCGCCCTCCCGACCCAGGTGCCTCCCGCACTGCCTGCCCCCAGCGTTCACACCTCTCGGCTTCCCTGGCCTCTTACACAGGCTTTGGGGCCCAGGCTCCTGTCATTTGTCTCCTGGGATCCTGCATGACCTAAGGCTTCATCCCCGGCCCCGGCCTGAGGGGGGAAGAGCTTGAGACATTGGGGGGGCCGGGTGCTGTGCCGGCGCACCATCGTCCTTTCCGTGTCCTCGCAGAGTGCCTCTGTCCCCAGTGCCCGAGTCGAGCGTCTGCTCCTGAAGGCCGTCGTGGGCTACAACGGGAACGGGCGGGCCAATGTGGTCTGGAAGCCAGATACAGGTGGGGCCACAGGGCACCCTGGCTCCCAGCCCAGAAGCCGCGGGGAGGGGCCCAGCTCTACCCACCGTTAGGTGGCTCTGAGGCTCTACCCAGCCTGAGAGCACGCGAGCCCTTGCCACCGTGGGGGGCTTGGGTGGCGGGCCCAGGAGGGATCCCCGAGCTGAGGCGTGTTCTCCCGGTAACCTGTCCTGTGTTCCATCCCGCACGGACCCGTGTCGCCTCTGAGGTGGGCTTCCCAGGCGCGAGCGCCCACGGCTGTGGAAGCGAACAGGGAGGATGCACCCTGGGCCCGGCCGACTGGCTCAGGGGTACCCTCCCTGCCCCCAGGCTTCTTCGCCTACACGTGTGGCTGCCTGGTAGTGGTGGAGGACCTGCATTCTGGCGCCCAGCGGCACTGGCTCGGCCACCCCGAGGAGATCTCCACGCTGGCCCTCAGCCACAATGCTCAGGTGCTGGCCGCACGCCCTACCCTGTGCGCCTGGGACCGGAGTGCTCTTGGGAGCCTGGATTCTTGAGAGCCACCCTGGCTCGCCTCCCCAGAGCAGGACGGGGCCCAGGGTGGGCCGGTGGGCCGTGCCCTCCTGGTTGACCGCCCGCCTTCCGGCCTGGCAGATCCTGGCCTCTGCCTCGGGCTGCAGCAGCACAGCCTCCCGCTGCCAGATCCGCATCTGGGATGTGCCTGGGGGCTCCTGCCGGCACCTTCTCTCTTACCACGACACCGCCGTGCAGGCCCTGGCTTTTTCACCGGACGACACGCTGCTCGTCACACTGGGTGAGTTGGGTTGCGGGGAGACCGTCGTCTCTGGGCTCACCTGCCTGTCCTGAGACTCCCGGGAAGCTGATGTATCCACTGTGTGTCTTCCCCAGGGGACTACGGTGACCGCACCCTGGCCCTGTGGAGCGTGGCCACCTGCGAGCTCCTGTCCTCCGTCCGCCTGCCGGAGCCAGCGCACGGCGTGGCCTTCAACCCCAGGGATGCCAGAGAGCTCACCTGCGTGGGCCAAGGTGCCATCATCTCGTGGCTCCTGCAGCAACGCGGGGCTGACGTCACCCTCCAGGTGCCAGGGTTCAGAGGCTGTCGTGGAGGGTGGGGTCTGGCTCAGCCCCGGGACGTTGCCGACCCCCGCTGCCCTCGTGTCCCTCCAGGTGCACCGGGAGCCCATCCCTGAGGAGGTGGAGGCGGGCGAGCTGACCTCGCTCTGCTACGGGGCCACGCCTCTGCTCTACTGCGGCTCCAACGCTGGCCGGGTGTGTGTCTGGGACACATGTGCCGGCCGCTGCTTCCTGGCCTGGGAAGCAGATGACGGCGAGATCGGTGGGTGCCTGATGGAGCCCCCGCGCCCCCTGACGGCTCGGGGCTGGGCCTCTCCCTGGGAGCCTTCGTCTCGAGGTCTGGGCGTCTGGGGAAGCGGCTCACGCAACCTCCTACCCCGCAGGAGTGTTGCTGTGCTCGGGAGCGCGGCTGGTCAGTGGAAGCAACACCAGGCGCCTACGCCTGTGGGCGGTGGGGGCCGTGCCGGAGCTGAGGCGCAAAGGTGTCCGTGCCAGGTGGGACATGTGTGGGTGTGTCTGGGAGCTAGTGTCCTTGACCCCTTGAGTGGGGCCCTGGGGGTCATAGCCCCAGGCTGGGGACGTGTCCCCAGAGCCCTGGGCCCCGGCTGCCACCTTTTGAAGCCACTCCCCCGCCACACCTTAGGTCTAGCTCTGTGTTCATGGAGCACGAACTGACCTTGGATGGTGCCATCGTGAGTGCCGTCTTCCACGACAGCATGGACATGGGCGTGGTGGGCACCACGGCAGGGACCCTTTGGTATGTCAGCTGGGCCGAGGGCACCAGCACCCGCCTCATCAGTGGCCACAGGAGTAAGGTGAGGGGATTTCCAAGCCGGACAGGGGCAGGGCAGCCAGCCACACACGCTGTCCTCTGTCCCTGCCTCCCCCAGATTGTTCCCAGTCCGAGCCCAGCAGTCAGACGGGTTGGTGTGGAAATGGTTCTGGAGGTCCCGCCAGGGATGAGGACTCCACAGCATAGAGATACGTGCTTACCCCTTGTGGATCCAGGACCCACAGGCGTCCCCCCAGGCCAGGACCCACAGGGCAGTCCCCCAGGCCAGAACCCCAGGCCGCCCCCCCCTCCCCCCACCGCCGGCCAGGACCCACAGGCATCCCCCCAGGCCAGGACCCACAGGTGTCCCCCCAGGCCAGGACCCACAGGTGGGACCCCCCAGCCTTTTGGCCTGCTCTGACCTGTTTCTTGTGGTGCCTTTTTTTCCTCTGGTAATTGATTTGCCGAAAAAACCATGTTGGCTGCCTTGGAGCCTCCCATGGCCGCGGGGCCGGACATGCCTCTCTGCCCTGCGCTCCCCGGGGTCTGAGCTGTCCGGGGGCCGGGCCAGGGCCTGGTCAGGGCCAGTTTGTCCCCGTGGCACCTGCTGAGCGAGCTGTCTCACCAGGAAGCACTCGGGGACCGCTTGCCTGTCACCGATGTCCTCGTAGAATGACTCACTGCTCGGGGGTGTCTTAGGCGGTGCTGGTCGGATCCTTTTCGGGAGAGACGTCCTAGTGAGCTTGCTTCCCCCGAGGCACAGCCGAGGCAGGAGTGGCAGGATAGCTGATCGTCTGGCTTCTGGGCTGGGTGTCCTCGGTGCCAGCTTGGTCCTCAGCATCCAGCAGTGGCCCACCAGTTTGGAGTGTCTGTGAGCCGCTGGATGGAAATGTGGGTCCTGCAGCTTCGTGCTCACTGTTTCTCCTGATGCTCAGCGAGCCTTTAGGCAGCGGGAGGTTCTAGGAGTTGGTACCCTGAGCCCCCACCCCCCGCCTTTTTTTTTAAATATCTGTTCATTTGTTCAGATATGACAGTTGCCATCAAAGAAACGAGTTTGAGATGGGTGAGGACTGCATACTTGTTCTGTTCTTGGTGACAGCTGCGTGTTGCAACATAAGCCACGTGCCCTGTGCTTTCTCCGCTGAAAGTCTGTGGTTTTGTTACGTGCACAGAATTGTACAACCAGCACCACAGTCAAATTTCAGGGCATTTCATCTCCCCAAAAGGGGGCCCCATACCCTTTAACCATTTACCCCCATTCCCCTGCCCGGTCCTTGGTCCTCATAGACCAACCTGTTTCTGTGGATGCGCCTGCCCCGGGCGTTGCTTTTTGCCTTCTCTCCCTGAGCACCATGCTTTCCGGGGCTTTCCATGCTGTAGCCTGTCAAAGCCAAGTGCGATCCTGTGGTCCAGGTAGAACTTGTGTCCGTTCACCCACTGGGGCCTGCACACTTGGGTCCTGAGGCCTTGACCTGAGCTGGCATTTGCTGGCGATCTCCCTCTCGTGTGGAACAAGGTGTTCCAGGCGGCCCTCTGCGTCTCCTCCCAGGACCTGCCGTGGCTGTTTCTTCTCAGAGCCCGGGGTCCCTCCTGTGGGAGACGACATAGAGGTCATGGTCCGAGTCCCAGAGGAACCTGTTACCGCTCAGCCAGTTTTTTATTTTATTTTTTTTTATTTTTTAATGTTTGTTTATTTTTGAGAGAGAGAGAGAGACACACACACAGAGTGTGATCGGGGGAGGGGCAGAGAGAGAGGAAAACACACAACCTGAAGCAGGCTCTGGACTCTGTGACGCCGAGTTGGAACTCAAAAACCGTGCGCTCACGACCTGAGCCAAAGTCAGGAATTGGCCACTTAACCAACTGAGCCAGCCAGGTGCCCCAAATTATTTTTTTAAGTGAGAAGCATTACAAGTTCACGCTTACGCTTGAAATTCACATTCAAGACTAGACCACTTGGGGCGCCTGGGTGGTTCAGTTGGAAGAGCATGTGACCCTTGATCTCAGGATCGTGAGTTTGAGCCCCACACCGAGGGCAGAGATTACATTTAAAAAATGACGTCTTTAAAGAAAAAAAGACCCGGGCCTGCCGTGTCTCCTCTCTGCCTGGGGGCCACGTGGCCTCAGGTGGGGCTGGCTGGCTCCCTGCAGGTGAACGAGGTGGTTTTCAGTCCCAGTGCGTCCCACTGGGCCACATGCAGTGATGACGGGAGTGTGAGAGTGTGGTCCCTGGCCAGCATGGAGCTCCTGATCCAGTTCCAGGTGCTGAACCAGGTACTGGGGGGCACCGGGGCTGAGCCCAGACCACATCCCGGCCCTGCCTGGTGGTGGCCATGTCCTCCCCACGGTGTCCATCCCAGCCTTGGGGCTGGGCTCCTGTCCTCCACCCTCAGGGGAGTGCTGGTGTGTCCCCACTGGGTCCCCAGAGCTGCCTCTGCCTGGCTTGGAGCCCTCCGTCCTGCGGGCGTCCCGAGGAGCAGCAGGTAGCAGCAGGCTACAGCGATGGCACCCTGCGTGTCTTCAGCGTCTCCCAAATTGCCATGGAACTCAAGATGCGCCCCCACCGGGCTGCGCTGACGGCCATTGCCTTCTCTGCTGATGGTGAGGGGTGGGGGGGCCCACAGGGGGACAGGGCAGCCCCCGCTGGGCCCAGGTCATACCTCTGGGCTGGGGTCAGGGGCTTCAGGGTAGCAGAGTGTGGCCCTGCCTGGCCTAGGTCAGACCATCCTCTCCGGAGATAAGGATGGGCTTGTGGCCGTGAGCCGTCCCCGCACAGGGATGACCTTCCACGTGTTGAGTGACCACCGGGGCGCTCCGATCTCCACCATCCGGAGCACGAACAAAGAGGTGAGGTGGCCCCACGAGCTGGCGGGGATTGGCCTTGGGGGTGCCGGCAGGGGAGGGGAACTGGGCACAGCAGGGCAGGAGGCACCCACCGGCCCTCACGCACCCCCAGTGCGGAGACCTGGGGGCAGAGGGTGCCGACCTGTGGCTGGCTGCCAGCTCAGACCAGCGGATCAGCATCTGGGCCTCCGACTGGCCACGTGGCCACTGTGAGCTCTTGGACTGGCTGAGTTCCCCCTCGCCCACCCTCACGGAGGTAAGGCTCCTGGTGGCACGGGCGGCGGGGACAGTTGCCTGCCCACCTCCCCACAGCACGCTGTGCCCTCCCCAGTTTCCCAGCCGCCCGCCGCCCTGTCTTGTTGCCTTCTGCCCCTGGGATGGGGCACTGCTGGCGTGTGCGGGTCTCGGCGTGCATCCGGAGGTGGTCTTCTACAGCCTCCACCAGAAGCAGGCACGTGCGCCCCCTCCCCCCCGCGTGGTGCCCGGAGCCGGGGGGATCCCAGGCTGGGGAGGGGAGGCTCATGCTCGCTGCCCACAGGTGGTGGAGAAGATCCCGCTTCCTTTCTTTGCTGTGTCCCTGAGCCTGTCCCCCGGAGCCCACCTCATGGCCATTGGCTTTGCTGGTGAGTCCTGGTGGGCAGGGACTCCAGCCCGTCTTGAGCGGGGCCCAGTGGGTCACCCATACCACCACCTGAGATGTGCCTCTCACCTCCGTGTCCCAAGCTCCCTATCCCTGAAGCGGGGTGAGGACATCTGTCCCAGGGGAGTCGTAGGGTCCAGAGATGAGGAGTGTGGGGTGCCGATTGCTGTACCCAGCACGAGGGCCTCAGCAGAGGGACTCCGTGGTGTAGACTGGGGCCTCGAAAGCCCCATGTTGTGAGGCACCTTGGTGCTGATGGCCCCCCCCCCCCCCCTTAGCTCGGCTGCCCCTGGTCCCAGCTGTAGCAGGCCTGGGGGTATGGAGGGCACAGGGCTTTTAGCTACACATTCCTCCACGAGGCATCGGCAGCCAGACGGGTTGGGGGACCCCCGGGCCCCGGAGCTACACAGACACGGGGCCTGGCATGCACGGCACTCTGCCTATCCTGCCCAGCCCTGTGCCCTCTGCCCGCAGAGCGTATGCTGAGGCTGGTGGACTGTGAGTCGGGGGCCGTGCAGGACTTTGCTGGCCATGACGACTTGGTGCAGCTCTGCAGGTTCGCCCCCTCTGCCCGGCTGCTCTTCTCAGTGGCCCACAGTGAGATCCTGGTGTGGGAAGTCTCAGGCCACCTGGCCACAGAGGAGTCCCTGGGCTCAGGGTCCTGGCCGGCCTGGCGGAGAAGCTGAGCTGTCCCATGGCCTCCTGCTGAGCCAAGGTGGTTTCTAGGCCCATGTCTACACACCAGCGGACCTGCCGCTGTGAATCGTCAAGAGCCTGGACTTTACGGAAAGTGCTCTCGATCTGAGAGCTTTTGTATGCTTCCGCCCTGTGAAGTTCAAATAAACGTGGGTGTTGCATTCTGGCATCGTGAGATGGTCATTGCAGGATCCTGCTGCCCTGGCCTGAGCTCAGCCTGCACAGAGCCCCCAGACCTGCTCCCTGCCCAGAGTGGGCGGGTCAGGTCCTCGCGCGCGGAGCTGCGGGGTGGGGCGGCACCTTGGGCGAGAGCCGCGTCCCTCCGGCGCGATGCCCGCGGTGCCCAGTGTGCCCGCGCGGTGGCGCCGCCGCACAATCCGGACGCTCTGGCCCGCCTCGCTCGTTAGTGCGGCACCGCGGGCGGGGGGCGGAAGTGCGGGCGGGGGGCGGAAGTGCGGGCAAGTGGGAGAGCGTGGGTTGGATCCGTGATCGGGGTCGGGCCGGGGTCGAGCCGAGATCGGGGTCGAGATCCAAATCCGGATCCGTGCGGCCGCCATGAAGCGGGATGTGCGCATCTTGCTCCTGGGAGAGGGTAGGACCCCGGGCTTGGGAGCTTGGGGGGGGGGGGGCTTGGGGCCACCGGGGTCGCGGCGAGGGTCCGGCCTCATTGGGGCTGGGGCGCCGCGCTCTTGGCCGCTGCGCTGACCGCTCCGCCCCGCGCAGCCCAGGTGGGAAAGACGTCGCTGATCCTGTCTCTCGTGGGCGAAGAGTTCCCCGCGGAGGTAAGAGCCGAGCGCGGCCGCACCCCTCGGTGTCTCTCCGGCGCGACCTCCCTCCGTCCCGGGCCACCGGTACGCCGCGTCTTTTCCAGGTCCCTCCGCGAGCAGAAGAGATCACCATCCCCGCAGACGTCACCCCGGAGAAGGTGCCCACCCACATCGTGGATTACTCAGGTAGAGCCGGCCCGCCCAGCCCACCCTCCGCCTCTGCCCAGTAACAGGCATTTGGGCAGTTCTGCAGTAGCGTGTCTTTTCTTTCCAGAAGCCGAGCAGACGGCGGAGGAGCTTCAGGAAGAGATTGACAAGGTACAGCGTGCCCTGAGGGCTCAGGAAGGGGGTGCTGATCACTTAGGGCCTGGGTGCGGGCTGCTGCCTCCGCCTGATCTGCTTCTCTCTCCGAGGGATTAGACTAAGGTGCTCCGGTGCCTGAGGCTTCGCTAATCCCTCCCTGACCTCCCAGTACTGAGAGCTGTCTGGCTCCTCTGACTCACCCCGCTGGGAGCTGGGGAGAAGAGGGGCCCCCTGGTACCCACACCACATGGCTGGCCAGCCCTTTGGCTCAGTGCGCCCATTGTTTGCTCATCTGGTGGGCTCTGGGGAGCAGTCTCAGTGTTCTTCAAAGTGACCCCTTAGGCACCTCCGTGCCTTGGCCACCTATCCTCCCATCCCGTAGTCCGGTCCACTGCTCCAAGCCTCTGGGCCCTAGTGGGTGCTGTGACCACGGCTGTAGGTCATCGTTGCTCGTGTGCTGTCACAGGAGGATCTGTACCTGAACCAGGCTGCGATGGGGGAGGTGGGGGCGGGTAGCTGTCCCTGTAGCTCCTGCTGTGTTCTGGGCATTGCTGGGCAAGGGCAATGGCCACCGTTACTCAGAGGCGGCCTTTTTGCCACCGTCATCCTTCACGGCCTACTTCGTTATTCTCTGTGCCCGAGATGACAAGGGAATGCAGGGCTGGGGTGCCAAGTTGTGGGGGCGGCGGTGTCGGTCCTGAGCCCTCCAGGAGCCTCACTGGCCAGAGCTGCAGTGCTCGGGCCTGGCAGCCGCAACACCCCCACCACCAAGAGGGACTTGCCAAGTTGGAGCCGCTGACGGTAGCCGGGGAGCATCGGCTAGAGGGGCGTTTCCAAGGTCTCCGGCCCCGTCAAGGGCAGCGTGAAGCAAGGAGCCCGTGGTCACGTCGTGCCTCACCCCCTTTCCCGCAGGCAAACGTGGTGTGTGTGGTGTATGACGTGTCTGAGGAGGCTACCATCGAGAAGGTGAGGGGGTAGAGCTCCTGATCCACCCCGGTCCTTGCTGCTGGCACCCACCTCCATGCTGCCCTCCATACAGACTTCAGGGGCACACCTTGCTGACCCAGGCTCTGGGCGACTTGTACTTGTGTCTGGCCCCATCTCTGACCAGTGCTTCGGGAAACCTCGCGGAGCCACGCTGGGTGCGGGGGCCTGTAGCCAGGACCCCGCAGCTTCCCCGGGGAGCTCCTGTGGCCCTGTCTCCCCACAGGGCCCGTGGGTGGTCAGAAGTCTGTGGAATGGGGTGCCGTGGGCTGCTGATCCGGGTCCCTTGGGTGTGTTTGCTAGGATCACATGAGGTGCCACTTGCTGTCCTCTCCAAGAGGGCACGTTCCCGGCATCTGTGACTTTGTCCCTCAGTGGGCCTCGACCTCCCCCTTCTAGGCGTGAGTTCCACGTGGGAGCCGTGGGGCAGGCAGGCCCCTCTCCTCACGGCTAGGCCTTGCTTTTCAGATCCGCACCAAATGGATCCCACTGGTGAACGGGGGTACCGAGAGGGGCCCCAGGTAACGGGCAGGGTCCAGGGGGGTGGGCCCCACCAGCTCCCCCACCCACGGTGACCATGGGTCTCTCTCCCCAGAGTCCCCATCATCCTGGTGGGCAACAAGTCAGACCTGCGGGTGGGCAGCTCGATGGAGGCCGTGCTGCCCATCATGAGCCAGTTCCCTGAGATCGAGACCTGCGTGGAGGTGAGTGGCGGGTGAGACCGGGAACCCAGCAGCAAGGCCCTGCGGCCTGCGCCCCCGTGCCAGCATCTTCCTCGGGGGCCCTTTGAGTCCTCTGATATTGGGCACGTTTCTGAGCCTGTCTCCGTGGTCGCCAGTGCTCTGCCAAGAACCTGAGAAACATCTCGGAGCTGTTCTACTACGCACAGAAGGCCGTGCTACACCCCACGGCCCCGCTCTACGACCCTGAGGCCAAGCAGGTGGGCGACAGGCAGGGTGAGGAGGTGAAGCTGACCGGCGGGGGGCGGGGGGCGGGGGCGGTGGGGTACGTGCTGAGCCGGCTGTCCCTGCAGCTGAGGCCCGCGTGTGTCCAGGCCCTCACGCGCATCTTCAGGCTCTCAGACCAGGACCTAGATCAGGCGCTCAGTGACGAGGAACTCAACGCGTTCCAGGTGCGGCCCCCTCTGCTGCTGGTGCCCACCCCTCGAGGGCTCAGCTGCGCTCCGTGCCTCGGGTGCCCTTAGTGACGCTGAGCAGTCGCTGAGGCGGCTGGCCGGCTGATGGCGACTTTCCCTCGGGGGCAGAAATCCTGCTTCGGGCACCCCCTGGCCCCCCAGGCCCTGGAGGACGTGAAGACGGTGGTGTGCAAGAACGTGGCGGGAGGTGTGCGGGAGGACCGGCTGACCCTGGACGGTGAGTCCTGACGCCCTGCCCGTCCCTTGGGAGCAGGGAGGAGTCAGGCCGTGCCCAGTGTCACTCGCACTTCTGCCCCTTTCGGGACAGGCTTCCTTTTTCTGAACACGCTGTTCATCCAGCGTGGCCGCCACGAGACCACGTGGACCATCCTGCGGCGCTTTGGCTACGGCGACACACTGGAGCTGACCCTGGACTACCTTGCTCCGCCGTGAGTGCTGGGCGGGGCGCTGGGCTCCCCTCTCTTCTCCGTGTCAGGCCGGTGCCCCGGGGGCTCCTCAGCCCCCCCCCCCCCCCACAGGGAGGCAGGCTGGGAGGAACGCGTGGGCGGACTCTGCTCTGCTGAGGGGCTGATGCGGGAGCCTCCCCGTCCCGGGACACGGGAGGTGTGGGGAGCGTGGTGGGCACGGGGCTCCCTGGGAACCAGAGAGCCCCTGCCACCCCCACAGGCTCCACGTGCCCCCCGGCTGCAGCACCGAGCTCAACCACTTCGGCTACCAGTTTGTGCAGAGGGTGTTTGAGAAGCACGATCAGGTGAGGGTGTCGTGACTCCCGCCGTGCGCCACCCCCCCCCCAGCCCCTCCAGCCTCCAGGCACACGTCCCCACAGCGTCTCTGCCTGTAGGACCACGATGGCAGCCTCTCGCCTGTGGAGCTGGACAGCTTCTTCAGCGTGTTTCCAGCTGCGCCCTGGGGCTCCCAGCTGCCTCTTGAGGTCCCCACCGAGGCGGGCCGGCTGCCCCTGCACGGGTACCTCTGCCAGTGGACGTGAGTGCCACCCCTGCCACCGCCCCCTCCCGCTCGGCGGGGACAGCACGCCTCCCTGGCCTCACGTCCCTCCTGTCCCCCAGCCTGGTGACCTACTTGGATGTCCGGCGCTGCCTTGAGCACCTTGGTTACTTGGGTTACCCCACTCTCTGCGACCGGGACTCCCAGGCCCACGCCATCACAGGTGGGCATCTGCCCTCTCACCCCAAGCCCAGCCCCTCCCGGGCGGCCCCCTCAGTCACGCCCTGGCTGTCTGTCCACAGTCACGCGTGAGAAGAGGTTGGACCAGGAGAAGGGGCAGACGCAGAGGAACGTCCTCCTGTGCAAGGTGGTGGGAGCCCGCGGAGTGGGCAAATCCGCCTTTCTGCAGGCCTTCCTCGGCCGCCGTCCGGGGGTGAGCGTCCAAGTATCCCTGGGCGAGGGGGCCCAGCTCCTGCCCCAGCCCTCCCGCCACCCGAGGGGCAAGGGGCTCTGGGCAGCTTCTAGGCCGGGGGGCTTCAGACGCTTCCCTCCTCCACGCCAGGATCGCAGGGAGTTCCCCGAGGAACCTGCCGTCTACGCCATCAACACAGTGCAGGTCAACGGGCAGGAGAAGTACCTGATAGTGAGTGTGACCACCCCCCGCCCCCCGGGATAGACCCCGAGTCCGTGCCGGGGACCTGTCTCAATGTGGCCCAGAGGGCCAAGCCCTGGACCCCTTCCTGAGACCGCCCTGTGTCTAGCTGTGCGAGGTGAGCGCAGACAGCCTGTTGGCCGCCGCACCCGATGCTGCTTGTGACGTGGCCTGCTTGATGTTCGATGGCAGCGACCCCGGGTCCTTTGCGTTCTGTGCCAGCGTCTACAAGGCAAGGCCCCCGCCCCTCGTCCCTTTGGGGCAGGACCCTGGCCCGGGCCACCGGGGATTGCACCCTGACGCGGCCCCTCTCTCCGCAGCGCCACTACATGGACGGGCAGACCCCCTGCCTCTTCGTCTCTTCCAAGGCTGACCTGCCTGAGGGCATCTCGCCACCTGGCCTGTCGCCTGCGGAGTTCTGCCGCAGGCACCGGCTGCCCGCCCCTGCTCCGTTCTCCTGCGCCAGCCCGGCCAAGCTCAGCACCGCTGTCTTCACCCGGCTCGCTGCCATGGCCACTTTCCCGTGGGTACCGGCACACAGCCCCTGTGGTGGGAGCCTGTCCTCAGCCCGGTGACCGGTAGCCTCTGTCACCGGGAGAGCAGGACAGCTGTAGCCGTGTGGTCGGGGTCACGCAGGCGCGGGGCGGGTCTGGTCTCACTGGTGGCCCCCTGCCGTGGGAGCCCTCTTGTTCCCCACGCTAACAGCCCCGTGGGCTCTGGGGCTTTCCAGGAGGCGGGTGGGGGTGTGGCAGCAAGCTTCTGGGCAGCGTCCCGGAGGCGCCTCCAGCCGGCCTCTCTTTTCTTGCAGACACCTGGCCCACGGGGAGCTTCACTCTACCTCCTTCTGGCTTCGGGTGACACTGGGGGTCATCGGGGCCGCTGTCACTGCCGTTCTCAGCTTCTCACTCTACAGGGCCCTGGTGAAGACCCGATGAGGCCTCAGGGGCTCCCGGGTGTTGGTATTGGGGCCACGTGCTCGAGGGCACCCAACTTCTGTCTGAACCTGGTTTCTGGGGACACTTTGCCCACTGCCCTGCCCGTGCCCAAGACCCGTGGGTGGGTCCCGAGGTTCTGGGGGCACTGGGGCTCATGAGCGAGGAAGCGTGTGACCCCAGACTCCAGTAGTTCTCAGGGCTCCACACCTTTCTGGTCCCAGGCAGCCAGTGGGCGTGAAGGGTGTCGGAAAACAGAACTTTGGGCCGGAGGCGGGGGGCAGGAAGTGGTTGAGCACCGTGTGGCCTTCCTCCCTGGTTTGGAGACGGGTCCAGTGCCGCACCCCTCTCAGAAGGCATCAGCTCGGGTGTCCCGATTAAACTTTGCTGGTGTCTTTTGCATCTCGAATCCTGCTTTCGGAAGACAACGTTCCTTGAATCCGCTAAAATGTGTCCTTTGTCTCGCATGGGCTTGAAAGCTCGCCACTGGCTCCCACGCCGCCTCCAGGTCTGGGGCCCATTCTGGGGTCTCATTCGCGGCCCGGCTGCAGCTTACGAGCCTCTGCACCCTTCAAGGTCCATGCTGGCCTGAGGGGATCTGCTACCTGAGAGCCTCCTGATGCCCCGCCCCCGGGGCCGGTGTGCCCCGCAGCACTGCCTCCCCACCCCCAGTCTGAGCATCCCGTTAGTTAGTGAGGCTGTGGTGTATGGAAGACGGGGGACTCTGCAGTGGGACGGGGGCCTGCCCAGATGTCGCCCTTCTGGTGTGGTCCGGCCCCAGCCTGGGGTATCTGCCCTGTTTCCTCAGGCCCTGACCAGAGGCCTCTGCCCCTCTCCCTGGGCAGGGGACAGCCAGAGACCCCAGCCTGCAGGGCTGGGGGGTGGGGGGGCCCGGCTTAGGGCTGGGCTTCAGCACTTCTTAGGTGTTCACTCGGTATGTGTTCTGGGGTCTGGAGCAGCGAGCCCGTGGTGTGGCGAGGTGCCCTTCCTGCCATCGCAGTCCTGAGAGGCACCTTCCCCAAGTCCCAAAATGCTCTTTGCAGGAGTTGGGGGGGGGGGGGGGGGCTTGCTGCTCCACGGGGAGGCTCAGGCCTGCTGAAGGGTAGGGTCTGGGGTTGACTCTGAAATTGTCCTTCCAACATCCCTGGCAGCCTCCTGGCCCGCTGGCCCACGGGGGCAGCTCTCACCTGCCTTAGGGTGGGGCAGGATGCACTTTCTAGCCACTAGGGTTGCTATGATGACACATTGCTTTGGTCTCTGTCACCTCTGTTGCTAGAGGGCTCTACTTGCTGTCCCCAGAAAGTAGCGACCTTTCCTAGCCAGCTGCAGCCTCGTGTGTTGGGGGCTCTGCCCCAATGCCCATGGGTCTGTCTCGGCTCCCAGTGAACTGGAACTGGAGGGCCTGCTTTGCAGCATCGCGGCTGCAGGAGTGGTCAGGGGCCTCCAGGCCCAGATGGGTGCTGGGGCTCAGCCTCCACCGGCTGAGCAAGGACAGCCGCACTGAGCCTCCCCGACTCCCGCTAGTTGCCCTGTTGGACTTGGTTCCCACACGGAGGGGCTGTGGTGCGTTCTTAATGCCTGGGAGCAAGCGTGTCTGGCGCGCCTGCCGGCACCTTCAAGGGAGCCCTGGCCTGGTAAGGACTCACAGGCAGTGCAGTGGTCAGGAAGGCTTCCCCGAGGAGGTGGCTTCAGCTCTGAGGCCCCAAGCAGAGGGGCGCGCGAGGGAGGGATCTAGACGCTGCCCTGTGACTCAGTTTCCCAGCCGCTTCCCCGCGTTAACGAGCGGCCCCGGAACGGGACGGCAGCAAGCGTGGCGGCGAGGCCCCAGCTCCGGTCGCGGCTGTTCCTGCCTGCGGCGCGTCCGCAGGCAGGGCGCGCGCGTGTCCCGGCCGCGCGTGGCGGGGCGGGCGGCGGCAGCGTGCGCG